TGCGCCTCGCCACCAAGGGGGCGTGCTCATCTAGTGTTTCCATAATAGCAGACGTGAATGCACCTGTCATGTCAATTATCGTGCCGTTCCGAGGGAACTGATGAAAGTGGACACACAGATCAGTCTGAAACTTCTCCCAGTCGATGGTGTGGATACGGCGACTCTGTCCGGGTTGTGATGTTCGGTTTACCCCTGTCTGGTTTACAGGCAAGTGTGCAAGGATGGCGAAATGGTCGCTAATATCTCCGTAAATCGTTTCACAGGCACCAGAAATGGGTGTATTTGACAGAAACAGATCTATGGTTGAAGCCGTGTGGCTCGTGACACGAGTTGGTGAGGTGACATAATTCCGAAGATTACTACTGGATAGTACTCGGTGCAGATGTTGTGCGTTCGGAGAGTTCTCACAGCTGTAATCAATGTTGAAGTCTCCAATGAGAACGGTAGATGCCTGAGCGCCTTCCATAGCAGTTTCTATGTTCTCTTGAAGAGAGTCCCAGTACGGCACTTAACAGCTGTCCACTAATTTTGTTGTTGGAGATTGAGTAGGAGTTTTTACTGGTTGATTCTAAATACAATAAATGCTCCGGCCTTGGGTTTATGACCAATAAACCCTCGGCCTCCTCATTTATTGTATACATAAAAGTTTGAACAGGGCCATGCCAGGGCCCAGGGGATAGACAGAAGCATCTCACTCTACAACTACAGCTCATCGGCTAGCGACATTGGCACTACAGTGTCTCAGCCTCATTCTACATGATCGTACATGTACATGTACACTACAACTTACAAGTACATGACTGTATTTCTCCCAAACGCCATAGCGAGCCACTTGAATAACGTTATGACCAGATTTTGAAAATGCCGATTGGACATTAATTTATTTTTGCTTGCTTGTATTGCTGAGGGAACATAATTTTAAATTGATGATAATGAGCAATTGAGCAGCACGACTGTGCATTACGACTGCGCATAACCATTATAATGTCATCACTAGAAATTCACTCCACAAAGCACGGTACGGTGCGGATATCATAGAGCAGAGGCATCCATTTGCCTCTGGAGGATCCGTGAAATAAAATCAATCAATCAATCAGAGGTTCAAAGAAAAAAAAAGAATTTAAAATTCTTGAATTCTGGTCACAACGGAGTGAACTTTTTTTTCGCCATTGCCTGTTTGTGTTGCGAGTTTAAATAAAACTCAACAACAACAACAACAACAACAACAACTTTTAATGCAGATTTCATGAAGAAACTGTACGCAGTATTCTTGCCAGAGTGAGACTCAGGAACCTTGAAGATGCATCATGGCACTGAAGGCCTGTTGATATCCAGTGTATCAGTCATGTCATTATATTATTATGCAGTTTTTATGTTCTCAGGGACGAAATATTTAGAATGCTAGAAAGTATTTCAAATTTTCAACCCAATCGACTATTTTGTCAAGATTTTGTCACATTTCTCATTCTGTCAAACCAGACTACACTACAGCCTACAGGTCATCATCGTCAGAATCAGTGTTGACTGTGGCAGCTTGTTCGTGTGCAATCGTTAGAGCAACATGATGCAGCCAGGATAAGGGCAGCATTAGAACAGCCATACCCGCGTACACTAGACCAATCGCCGTCATGGCCAGCGGGAAGCCGAGAACGGCCACCATTGGACTAGCGACCGCCGGCCCAAGCGCATAGCCGATGGTCAGAGAGAAGCGCGATAGGCCAGCTACGGCGGCACGCATCTCCACGCAGTCTCCCACGCCGACACCCTCGAGATGCTGCGACATGCTGATAATACTCGCCGCCTGCATCAGCACGTTGCTCAGACTCAGCGGCAAAACTCCGACGAACAGCAGCCACAGCGGCAGCGTTCCGTGCACAAACACGGCCGGACCGCTAAGGGAAAGTCCCAATGTTTTACATAGCATGCCCAGCACAATGAACAGCGGTGGGTTGACGCCTCGGTCGAAAAGAGCGCCTACGAACGGCGACGCCACACTCGCTTCGATGGCCTTTACCGAGAGCACGGCACCGACAAGTGCGGCTGGTGAGTGCAGCGTGCTGTCCATACGTGCGCCGAGAACCGCCCCCACACCGCCATATCCAAAGTTGGCCATGAGCAGAGTGAATGCCATCACCCAAACCCACGGAACTCGCAGGATGGTCCATGCGCTCGCTGCTTTCGCTCCTTTCCCGCCGGTTTGCTTGACTCCGAGATCCTCTACATCGATAAGCGACAGGAACAGTGCGGCACACACCACCAAGTTGAATGCACCGCCGAACAGGAACGGTGCTCTGAAGCACCCTATCAAGTCAAAACCCAATGAATGTTGTGAAATTTTGTCTACAGGTCTTCATCGTCGGAGTCAGTGTTCATTGTGTGTGTTTGGTTTGTGTAGGCTTTAGAGCAACATGATGCAGCCAGGATAGTGGCAGCATCAGAACAGCCAATCCCGCATACACTAGACCAATGGCCGTCATAGCCAAAGGGAAGCCGAGGAGAGCCACCATTGATGTGAAGATCACGGACCCAAGTCCGTAGCCAATATTTAGAGAGAAGCGCGATAGGCTGGCCACGGCGACACGTAGTTCTATGGGATCTCCCACACCGATACCCTCCAGATGCTGTGACATGCTTACAACACTAGATGAATGCAGCAGAACCCTGCAAAGACTAAGTGGCAATGCGCCGACGAATAACTGCCATAACGGCGGTGTCTCGTGTACAAACACAGCTGGACCGATAAGGGAAAGTCCCAATGTCTCACACAGCATGCCCAGCATAATGAGTAACGGAGCATTGGCTCCTCTGTCGAGCAGAGCGCCGACAAACGGCGCCGCTATGCTCTTGCCAATCGTCTTGACTGCTATCACCGCAGCGGCCACCACTGCTGGGGAGTGCAGGGTGTTGTGCATACGTGGAGCAAGAACAGAATCCACACCAGCGTTCCCAATGTTTGACATCACCAGGGTGAACGCCATGAGACACACCCAAGGCGACCGTACTATCGAGGCAACACTAACCACTTTCACGTCCTTAGAACCGTTCTGGCCCGTGTGCACTGTGTCGATATCGATTAGTATCACGAACAGTATCGCACTGCAAATCACATTGACCGTGCCGCCGAACAGGAACGGCGCTTCGAAGCCTCCAATGTCGTAGAATGCACCGCCGAACATAACGCCGCTGACATGCCCGATCCCGAGAAACGTTATCTGAAAGGCATTGACAAAGCCCAGATTTGCTGGGTACATTGAGATCAGATAGGTCATTACGGGAAACGTGGACATTGCAAATGCCACGCCGAGCAAAATCCGCACGCAGTACGAGTAAATTATAAACACTCGCCAGTCGGTGATGGTGGTGATACTGGCGAATACCAGAAGTGACGATCCTGTGATGAAGTGGCCGAGTACAATCAGATTTTTACTACCGATATTGGGTAGATCCTTGGTCAACATCGGTAGAGCGAGGGCTCCTGCTACCATGAAAACACTGTACACTCCACCAATAGCTGTGTGATACCCGAGACCTGCACCGGGATTCTTGTCCAGGGCTGCTGTGGTGTAGAAAGCTTGCATAGATGAGAGAGATCCGCTGATCGTTGCTGCAGCCAGTGTAATCAGAATAGTGATTCGCCTTGTTGCAGATATGCCAACAGCGACCGCTTCGTCGTCATCGTCGTCGTTCGCCGTGTCCAGCAACGATTTCTCCGATTCGTCATTACGCCGCCCGCTGCTGCCGGACTTCGGTCGAGTTCCGCCCAAGCTCCGCATGACGGAAGCGGCGCGTCCCCACAGCTCGCATGTCACCAGGTCACCACTACGCCTACGGCACTAGCAGTAGCACTATCGGTACAGGTGTGTCATTGGCGATGCAGTCACCGGAACCGTAGGACGACGACACTTCGATTTTCATCCGCTCAGCGGCTCGGAACCGACGGCGACGGCAAAGGACCATCGTCATGATCTGAGCCTTATCTTCGAGCTTCCAGGTCCAGGACAGAAAGGAGTATGTAGAGTGGCACATGGCATCGCTGCATGCTGCGCTGCTCCTACAATGTAGATCCCTACATTTGGTACTGGTCGGCCACGTTTAGATTCTACGCGGTGTAGCCTGTAGGCCAAGGCCTGCGCCCATGGCCTGGCCATGGCCAACTGCGCGCGGCCCCAATACCGTATTTTCTCTAATAAGAGCCCGGGTCTTATTTTTTCAGTGACAACATTTACTAACAGTTGAACTCTACCCGCGCTACTACCGTATTACTAAAGTATTAGAGACTGGGCTATTATTGGAGACTGGGATCTTATTTTTTCAATTGTCAACTATCAAGCCAACTCCAGTCTATACAGGCATAAACTGACCGTATCAAGACTGATTTTTCAACCATAAACTCAGGAATATTGTCAAAACAGGTATTTCACAATAGCATTTACGCTAGGAAGGAAGCAGTAGACCGAAAACCTCCTTACAAATAATTATGTTCTTGGCGTGTTGTACTGCTGTTTTATAATTATGAAGTCAATATACTTGTTGCATACTCCAATTGTGACCCGAGCTACTATTAGAGACTGTGCTCTTATTATTTCAAACCACCCTCACCCCGGTTCATTATTGGAGACTGGGCTATTATTGGAGACCTGGGCTTTTATTAGAGAAAATGCGGTAATTCTATTTTTTCAAGACTGACATTTTAAATTTGGTGCACATGTGTATCGCGGCCCCAACGACCTTTCTAGAAGACTTATTTTTATGAAGACTGATCCTGGCCGCCGCTCTACGAACATACAACCAGTACAATCACAATAGTCATGATTATAATGATGACCAGGCTGTTGTTCCAAGACACTGCATGCCCACAGCTACAGTTGCAGGTCACATGACTTTGCAATGTCACATGTACATTGTCATTGTACATGTATAATACAAATAATAATAATTATAGCAGCTGTCCTTGGATATGCCAGGGCCCAGAGGATAGACAGTAGCATCTCACTCTACAACTACAGCTCATCGGCTAGCGGCATTGGTACTACAGTGCATCAGCCTCATTCTACATGATCGTACATGTACATGTACACTACAACTTACAAGTACATGACTGTATTTCTCCCAAACGCCATAGCAAACCACTTGAATATGACCAGATTTTGAAAATGCCTATCGGACATTTATCTTTGCTTGCTTGTATTGCTGAGGGAACATAATGTTTAACTGATGATAATGAGCAATTGAGCAGCACGACTGTGCATAACCATTATAATGTCATCACTAGAAATTCACTCCACAAAGCACGGTACGGTGCGGATATCATAGAGCAGAGGCATCCATTTGCCTGTGGAGGATCCGTGAAATAAAATCAATCAACCAATCAATCAGAGGTTCAAAGAAAAAAAGAAATTTAAAATTCTTGATTTCTGGTCACAACGGAGTGAATTGTTAAAGCAGATTTCATGTAGAAACTGTACGCATTGTTCTTGCCAGAGTGAGACTCAGGAACCTTGAAAATGCATCATGGCACTGAAGCCCTGTTGATACCCAGTGTATCAGTCATGTTATTATAATGTACAGTTTTTGTGTTCTCAGGGACGAAATATTTAGAATGCTAGAAAGTACCATAGTATTTCAAAATTTCAATCCAACTCGACTATTTTTGTCAAGATTTTGTCACATTTCTCATTCTGTCAAACCAGACTACACTACAGCCTACAGGTCATCATCGTCAGAATCAGTGTTGACTGTGGCAGCTTGTTTGTGTGCAATCGTTAGAGCAATATGATGGAGCCAGGATAAGGGCAGCATTAGAACAGCCATACCCGCGTACACTAGACCAATCGCCGTCATAGCCAGCGGGAAGCCGAGAACGGCCACCATTGGACTGGCGACCGCAGGCCCAAGGCCATAGCCGATGGTCAGAGAGAAGCGCGATAGGCCAGCTACGGCGGCACGCATCTCCACGCAGTCTCCCACGCCGACACCCTCGAGATGCTGCGACATGCTGATGATACTCGACGCCTGCATCAGCACGTTGCTCAGACTCAGCGGCAAAACTCCGACGAACAGCAGCCACAGTGGCGGCGTTCCGTGCACAAACACTGCCGGACCGATAAGGGAAAGTCCCAAAGTTTCACATAGCATGCCCAGCACAATAAACAGTGGTGGGTTGACGCCTCGGTCGAGAAGAGCGCCTACGAACGGCGACGCCACGCTCGTTCCGATGGCCTTTACCGAGAGCACGGCACCGACAAGTACGGCTGGTGAGTGCAGCGTGCTGTCCATACGTGCGCCGAGAACTGCCTCCACACCGCCATATCCAAAGTTGGCCATGAGCAGAGTGAATGCCATCACCCAAACCCACGGAACTCGCAAGATGGTCCATGCGCTCGCTGCTTTTGCTCCTTTCCTGCCGTTTTGCTTGACTCCGAGATCCTCTACATCGATAAGCGACAGAAACAGTGCGGCACACACCACCAAGTTGAACGCACCGCCGAACAGGAACGGTGCTCTGAAGCCGCCAATGTCGTAGATCGCTCCACCGCCCAATACGCCGAAGACGTGGCCGATAGCGAGGAACGTCATCTGAAACGCGCTGACAAAGCCGAGGTTCGTCGGGTACATGGCCATGAGATAGGTCATCACCGCCACGGCGGACATTACGTACGCCGTTCCCTCTAGTATGCGTATACAGTAGGAGAAGACGAGGAATATTCGACTGTCGGAAATCGTTGTGACAAACGCAAACAGTGAATGGCTCACTCCCGTGATGAAGTAGCTCAAAATTATCAGATTTTTACTACCGATGTTGGGCAAGTCTTTGCTAAATAACGGTACGGCGATGGCTCCTGCCACCATGAAAATACTATAAACGCCTCCAATCGCTGTGTGATATCCTATTCCTGCACCGGGATTCTTGTCCAGAGCTGCCGTGGTGTAGAACGATGCGATCGAAGTTAGATTGCCGCTCATCGACGCCGTGGCAAGAGTGACCAGAATAAAAACGCGTCTAGCTGGAGACATGCTATCAGCGCTCACGCCACCACCGCCACCATGAAGCTCATCGGCATCGTCTTCGCTTGCCGCGTCCAGCAGAGATTTCTCCGATTCGTCGTTACGCCGGCCGCAACCGGACACTGCCGGACTTCCGCTGGAGTTTGGCATCGCGCTGTTGCTCGCTGAAATCGGTAGGAGCTTGAACTATTTATAAATTGTATAATAGTGCAACTGTACTATTCTGATAACCCGCCTGTGTAGATTCCGGCACCAGGGAGGGTGCATGCATAGCGGGTGTGCTCGGACTTTTCACGAGCGAAACTAATAACTTGTTCACCTGCGACTGCGTTGCCTTTACTGCGCTTTAGTGCAAGATAATCCAAAGCGGCAAATTGCAAAGCGACACCATCATCTTTCGAGGCATCAAAATAATGCTCTCAGGCGCTACCACCGCTACAGTTGCAGCAAGAAGTCCACTTCAGCCTTTCAGTTCAGGTACTAGTAGTCCGCTGCACTGAGTCTGTGCACAGTGGGCATGGGGTGAGTTTGGCTGCTTACTCTCGGCGACGTGCCCGTTTCCACCCACATCACAGGCGATCACACACCGTGACACAGTGCCTCTACACGTACACAGACACTGACATGTAATCTACATGTTACACACACACACGCACACACACACACACAGTACCGGAACATTGTTTTAGTTTGTATGACGTCTACATGACCAGTAACACTTCGTTGACTTTCTAATCTTACTGGTACTGTATTAATTTCCTGTTCACAAGCTGAAGAAGCGTATCTCAACGCGAGAGTGGTTCTTCTGTTCGTAGCTGTACAGGCTGAGCTGGTTGGTACTGTTCCGCTGATGAGCGCCCAGGTAATGTGTTACTGACTGATTCCATGGGACGAGAAGGGCACAGCGCCAATGCGTTCATGCGCCCAACTAAACTAATAAATATTCGTTAGCAGGTCTCCGCAGTTTGGAGCAGATGACGGCAGAAGGTGAGGCTGGCTCCGTCAACACTGCCAGAAATGATTCAACGTCGTTACTCAAGCCGAAGGGGGACCAGGATACCATAGGCACGATGACTGGCTGTGACGCTACTAGTTCTGTTTCAAGCAGCAGGGAATTAACCCTGTCGCAATCTTATTACAAAGCCACTTACACAGTTGAAAGTGTTTCGAGCCTGCACGAGGTTTCAGCAGCACGGAAGTTCCTCATCTTAGCTACGCTGGCCGCGGCCATTACCGCCGCGGATCTAACATCCTTTGGTGCCTTCTTCACGACTGCAGCGCTGAGCAAGAACGCAAATGGCGGAGCCGACTATCACACCGCTGTGGGTGCAGTGTACGCCATGCTGCAGATCGGTACTATCCTGGCTGCTCCGCTTGTGACCAGGGAACTTCCCTACATTGGTAGCAAGTACATGATGGCGCTGAGCATGGCTAGCATGGGAGTAGCGCAGGTGATATTTGCGTTCGTCGACCGGATTGCAGACTGGAGAGTGTTTCTGGTCTATTGTTATATCATCAGAATCATGCTGGGAATCACCTACGCCGGGTTGACCATATCCGCGAGTAGTTATTTGACGGCAGTGTTCCCGAGCAGACTGGGATTTGTAAACGGATTCGTGTTTACCTTCGCCTACGCTGGCCACGCGCTGGGAATGTTTCTCGGTGGCGCCTTGTTCGATGCCGGTGGATATCCTTTGCCGTTTCTGACGACGGGTGTGCCAATGCTGGTGGTAGCCGTGGCAATTCAGGTCGCTGTCCAGGAAGATGCGGCCGAGACTGTGGTAGCGGATGCCGACACTTCAGAGAAGCACATTGGCGTGCGCGTCATTCTGCGCTACCCGTGGGTCTGGGTTCTTCTGACCACCTTGACCGTAGCCATGGTTACGTTCAGTGGCGTGGAAGCGGTGCTTGGGCCGCGTATGCAGTCCATATTTGGATCACGTGCCATCACCGTTGGCGGCGCTCTTTCAGCAAAGATTATCGTCGCTGCCGGAACATGCCCGGCCGTTGGATCTGCTCTTGATGCGGGCTACAGCCCACATGTGTTTGTCGTCGTCTCCTTTCTGCTCACCGCCGTTGCTTGTCTTCTGCTGGGACCGGCGTCGTTTCTACACCTGCCCAGCTCGCTGTGGTTGGTGTACACATCTATGATAGCAATGGCCGTGGGGCACATTGGCATGACTGTCTCCATCATCTACGCCATGACCCAGTACCTGCAACGGGTCGGCGTCGGCTCGGCCATGCAAGTACGCGTGGCCATCGCCGGTATATCCTGGACGTGCATGTCGGGCGGCTTCGCACTGGCTCCCATCCTGACCACCGCACTGGTGGCGCTGATGGACTTCCAGGCAGTGTGGACGCTCTACGCCTTCGTTCACCTGGCCGCCGCTCTCGCCTTCGGAGTTCTTTCGTGGGTGCATTCCAGGATTTACGGACACGCCGGTACAGCTGGGCATACTGGTCAGGATCTGGGCACAGCCGACACAGATGTCGCCACGGAAACACCCAGTGACGTCATCACTGGCAGTGAGCAACCTGGCACCGAGGAGTCACAGCTGATTCCTCGTAAGTAGTGTTCACGCAGATGAGACGAACATGGCACTTACCAGTGCTTTTGATATTGACGGCACGCCCGGCCCTCTAAAGTACAAAAAGCAGTAGCCTGTTGGGACTTCCTTACTACACAAAAAAAAAGCTAGAATTACTACTAACTACTACCCTCCCTTATCCGGCTTCGTTGTGTTCGAAGGGTTGCTGAGACTGGGAAAACCCCTCACCCTGAATAGAATAATAATGTGCCAACCTAGGTATGAGAGGTCAGGGCTGAGTATATTTGCAAAACGTTCAATTGTATTGAGATGGTTGCAGTACTGGTTCCTTAGCTGGTATATTTTATTTACTGCTCCAGAATGAACAGGCATTGCTGCCTTCTTGCCTGGACACGCGTGGGTTGTCCAAGCTCTTCAGAATGACAAAGGAAGGAAAGAGGTGCTGCAACCATGAACTGCTACGGATGAAGTAGTGGGCAACACCAACCTTGACTGACGATAATCCATTTTTATATGGTCAACAATCCTATATTTAGACTCCGGTGGAGAGCTCAGGATTATCTATAAGAAGAAAAGAGGACCAAAGAGCTACATGTTACGCTATAATATCCGCTAACACCATCAGTTACTTTACAATCAGCATCGTGCAATGTTATCCCATGAGCCGATTGTAGAGTAAGGGGTCGTCCACGAATATCGATATTTTTTCAGAGAAGATATTCGTTCGTTGGGGGAGGGGGTTTGGGCCCTGAGCTGTTCGTCTCGTCTTTGTGAAAAAAATATCGAACTTTATCTATGGACGGCCACTGTGCTGCAAACAAGTAGTTTATGACCCACACAAATTGAAAGTCAACCTCGTGAACACACGAACATAGCCATGGCAAGGTTTTGCGACCGTGGCAACGTAAACCTAGGTGTATGGTGAATTTAGAGTTGCAGCTGGTCACGTTTCATGAGGAGATTGCACTCCATTAAAAAAATATCGATCCTCTGCATAAACATGACATGTGTACGTGTATGTTCGTTTTGAGGGGGATATTTGTTATGAATTGAGACTACGCAAGAGGTACACAAAAGGAAGTATATAGGGCTGTTTTTTGTTGTAACTCAGAGTTTCATGGCAAAAACCAATCATCAGTCTGATGATTGGTTTTTGCCATGAAACTCTGAGTTACAACAAAAAACAGCCCTATAGTATATACTTCCTTTTGTGTACCTCTTGCGTACTACGCTCTGCCCATTCCGGGCATTTGAGCACTATTGCAGGTTAAGGCGCACACCCTCTGTGAATTGAGACTATTCCATCTCCAAATCGGGCTGGTCTAGTGCACACTCAAGGCCTTCCTATTTTCACCTGTTTCCAATGGCATCATATTAATTATATTCTAAACTATTGATTGTGTGTGGGCTACAGTGCAATAGTGAGGCCTTCGTCCTACCCGCCTGTGTGCAAGGCTTTCCTCTTTCCACCTGTTTCAAATGGGATCATATTGAATTCTAAAGCTAAACAGTAAACTAGTGATTGTGTGTGGGTTACAGTGAGGGCTGCGTCCCACCCGCCTGTGTGGATTCACAGGAAGCGTGAGTTACGAAGTCTGAAGAAAATGTTGAATGATCGCTGCTTGGATGATGACTACACCTTAGCTTAGTGGTAGAGCATCGCTGGCCTCAAGGAAGGGTCTCTGCTTCGAGTCCTGGTGGTGACAATTCTTTCCTCAGACGTTTCCCGTTTGCTTCTTTGCCTCAAACCAATGAATTAATTATTTATTGTACTGGTGCTAAAGCGCTAGCGCTATAAATATAATAGGCTGGCTTGCTGCCACGAATCCCGATATTCACCTGAGTGTCATGTACTTATTATAAAAAAAGTCTTTGAAGTAGGCCTGTTGCGTGTACGTGTTGGACTACATTGTAGTGCTAGTGGCGCCGTGGGCCCGTGGCAGCAACTGGCAGCGTTTTCTGCCATGCATGTATATAGAACACCGCACTTCCGCCAATATACCGACAAACTGAGAACGACTTACCACTCACGTGACAACTACTAAAGTAGTAAGTTTAGTTAGGGAATATCGGGGCAGTTGGAGCTGTTTGTTGAAGCCGACTGTAGTGTAGCTTGTGATCGGTAAGACGTGAGGGCAGCCATGGCACAGCCGAGAATTTGTCTCCGAAAAGAGAGTTAGTCGAGAGTGGTGCTTCATCTCGTAAAGACGCCACTCCACATGGATCGGTGCGACACCGTTGGGGCATGCACGTGTACCATGGTGTACTGCGCAAGGAAACCATGGACATGGTAGATCTACACAGTTGTGATTCCGAAAACGTGCAGTGATGCACGCATGACGCTTCTGCAAGTAAGCAAAAATAGTTGTGGCGACCGGTGGCGGTGGTCCTTTCCTACTTCGCAAATCCAAAAAGGAGTTTCTTCGAGAGAACTCGACTCTGGTCTGGAGTGACTGAAGGAACTTTGAAATGAAATTTGTTTGGTAGCTGTGCGTCACTGCGTGTGCCGAGTTCAAGATGTCAGAGAAGGCCACAAGTTCAGGGCACCCCAGTCCGCCCTCTGTGCTTCAACCTCTGCAAGTAGTTGAAGATAGCAATAATGTTGGGAATCATGGCTGCGGTGTACGAGAGGCAACGGTAACACGTCTCACTGTCGAAGCGGGCTGCAGTGGCCAGGAGTTCTCCGCAGTCCGAAAGTTACTAATTCTTGCTACGCTCGCCGCGATCCTGACAATGTCAGACATGACATCGCTAGGTGGCTTCTTCACAAATGTAGCGCTCGGTAAGAACGCTAGCGGAGGAGCCGGCTATCACACGGCAGTAGGTGCAGTGTTTGCAATGTTGCAAGCAGGCAGTGTCCTGTCCGCTCCGTTCGTGACCAGGGAACTCCCCTACATTGGTAGCAAGTACATGATGGCGCTGAGTATGGCTAGCATGGGAGCTGTGCAGGTGATATTTGCGTTCGTCAACCGGATTTCAGACTGGAGAGTATTTCTAGTCTACTGTTACATCATCAGGGCCATTCAAGGTGTTTGTTACACAGGCGTTTCCATCGCATGCAGTGCGTATTTGACGGAGCTCTACCCGAACAACGTGGGCTTCGTGAACGGATTTCTGCTGACGTTCTTCTGCGTAGGCGACGCATCCAGTCAGCTTCTAGGCGGTGTGTTGTTCGATGCCGGCGGATTCCGTGCACCGTTTCTTGCGTCTGGTCCGGCTATGCTGGTTTCTGCACTGGCTGTGCTGATCGTCTTAGTGGACATCGATAACGGTTCATCGAATGACGGCACTTCGGAGACGCACGTTGGCGTGCGCGTCATTCTGCGTCAGCCGTGGATCTGGCTGTTGATGTTTGCCCTGACAGTGGCAGCCCTACCCGGCAGCGGCGTTGAAGTAGTGCTGGGACCACACATGCTGTCCGCGTTTGTCTCTAGCGCGACGCTAGTCGGCGGCGCTCTGGCGCTCAAGGTTGCCGTATCGTCGGCAACCTCGCCACTGATCGGATACTGCCTGGACAGGGGTTTGGACGCACACGCGTGGATTGTAATCGGGTACGTGCTAACCGGCGTATCATGTCTATTTCTGGGACCGGCAACATTTCTACACATGCCGACGTCACTGTGGCTTGTATTCGTGGCAATTGTACCCCTGGCGGTCGGGTTTATCATCGCTACGGTTTCCAGTATCGTTGCCATGACGAGACACCTGGAGTGTGCTGGAGTCGGATCGGCGGTGGAAGTACGAGTGGCCATTGCTGGTGTGGCCCGGATCTGCGCATCCGCCGGCATGGGCCTTGGTTTCCTTCTCACCACTCCGCTGGTGGCCGTCATGGACTTTCGGGCCGCCATGACCCTGTACGGGTTCGTCTTTCTAGCGGCGGCGCCGGCCCTTGGTGCAGTGTCTTGGCTACACGCTGCTGCCGCTGCGCCCGCACGGCATAAAGCCGCCGCTGCTGAGCAGAGTGTGTGGAGTAAATGCACGTGTTTGTGTGCAGGTGTCTGCCGATGGCCTCGCTTTCTCGCAGGCCCTCGCGGAAGCGTAGAGACTAGTGGCAGCCGTGAAGGCTTGGCTGAACGAATACCACTGGCATCTACATGATACTGTACGACCACAGATTCTATTAAATTGACGGAACGTATCAAGCATGCGCTTATTGATGTGCCATCTCTTGTTTCTCTTGTTTCAAGAGTCAGTATGAAATAGGTGATTATTTCTTTTCGAGTCACTCAGCAACTCAACCCTCTCAGATAAGGTCTAATTGACAGAAACAGCTGTCAGAAAGAATTGAAAATATTGTCAGTACGCCGAATGAACCTCTTGTTGCTGTTATGGGGAATGGACGTGGTCGGCCGCAGAGCGCAACGGTGGTGCTGGTGAAGTGGACGTAGAACATTGAAATCTAACTATTTAACCAATTCGGGTATGCTCGATGGGTTGGATCCGGATCCAGATTGATTGAGTGGATCCTTTTCATCCACCAAGGTCCAATGAAACGCTCCTTTTGATCGAATCTGGACTTTTTTAAACGATTTATAGGGGGTTCCATGAGAGAAAGCAGATTATCTACAAGAATGCAAGTCTTTCCAACAGCGTCACCAAGTCCAGCCTAATTGCACCACGCTGCTGTAAGTGGGTGGATCCCTCTGCGCCAAGGAGACGAGAAAGACCTAAAGCTGCCTGTATTGTGTGCCGGTCAAGCGAGGTACATGTATGTACTAGTAGTAGTAGATAAGAGTGCACGAGTGCTGCACATGTACATTGTACATATTTCTGGCCCTAGTACTTGCTTCCAACCAGGGAGTCGTATAGACCCGGGAGGCGACACGCGCATCACTTGTGCACAACCATGATCGACTCAACGATTCAAAATATTACGACCTGCTCGGTGTGGGACACGTCCGTACATAGGTCAAAGCGCCCGGGAAATCCGTACATAGCGTCGTCTTCGTCCTTTCGCTGAACAATTCTGGTCAGACTTTCGATCTCCATTGCCGAAATACAGCCATCTGTGGCCATCGCTGAGGAGTTCACTAATAAAGGGTCTTGTTCACTGGCTTACTCACTGGCTTTGCACTGCCACTCGAACTCTGAGGCACTTTGACCACCTAAGATGAGGTAATCCTTTCTTTACAAATTGCCTCAATATTTTCTCACCTTTAGGGCAATGAAGTAATTTTTTTCCTCGTGACTAACTTCGACCGACCAAGTTGCCCTGTCCCAGTGATCTACAATACTTATATTGCACATCTGTGAAATATTGGACCTATCCAGATAAACGAAATGACTTATATTCGAAATTACATTTTCCAAAGTTTTCCTTCACAAATAGTCCCAATTTGTTCTCACCTTTAGGGCAATGAAGTAATTTTTTCCTCGTGACTAACTTCGACCGACCAAGTTGCCCTGTCCCAGTGATCTACAATACTTATATTGCACATCTGTGAAATATTGGACCTATCCAGGTAAACGAAATGACTTATATTCGAAATTACATTTTCCAAAGTTTTCCTTCACAAATAGTCCCAATTTGTTCTCACCTTTAGGGCAATGAAGTAATTTTTTTCCTCGTGACTGACTTCGACAGACCAAGTTGCCCTGTCCCAGTGATCTACAATACTTATATTGCACATTTGTGAAATATTGGACCTATCCAGATAAACGAAATGACTTTTATTCGAAATTACATTTTCCAAAGTTTTCCTTCACAAATAGTCCCAATTTCTTCTCACATTTAGGGCAATGAAGTCAATTTTTCTTCAGGACTAACATCGGCTAACAAAGTGGCGCTGTCCCAGTGATCTACAATACTTATAATCATTGCACATGTGAAATATTGGGAGTCACAGAGTGAGGAAATGGCCTAAATTGAAACTTGAACTGTTCTGCCAAGTTTTATGCAGTGAACGCAGGGCTGAGAGCCCACAAGAGCCATCCCGGAAGATCTTGTGCGCCACCAACCGAACCTTCGGTGAATGTTCACAAGGTTAGAAGCTCGCACAGATAACACACAGTGGATGCTAATAGTAATACAATGCACTCAGGAATGTGTGCAAATACGACAGAATTAATTCCAAATAAAGTCAACAATAGCTGCCTCAACACAGTGCTATCAACCTTCCGTATTTTCCATATTTGTACGGAAAATCACTACTTCGTCCACGCTATGGATTTTGAGAAAAACATACGGAAAATTGAACGGGATTGATCAGTATGTATAAGCATTGCAAGTGCAAGCTGAGCGATGAAAAGAAGAGAACCGAGTGGAAAGAAAACGCTGCAGTGGAGAGTCCTTAGAAAAGACTTAAAAAATATCAATAATATCGCTGCACGAGATCATCCTTATAAGTTATAACGTCAGCTGATCGTACTGTGGTTGATTCATACGGCGGTAAATACACACCTGCCTACACACGCTCTCTAAACTGAAAAGTTATTCTGGCACAGAGCTCTCCTTCCCGCCACCACCACCATCATCAGTTCGCGTCTGGCGCCTAGTCGATGCAGGGTGAGTGGTGTCCGACATAGCAGGTTGGTACATCAGGTAGCGTATGGCGCATAGCAGATGACACAGCAACAACATAGCTTGATTGCGACGTACCTTTCGTCCCGGCTGGACTCATCAGGCAATCTTCTTCTTAGATGAAGGAGCTTGACTCGGGAGAATGAAGTTGAAGACTCCACTGCAACTGCACTTATGGTTGGTTCATATGGTGGTAAATACACGCCTGGCAATATGGGGGTAAATACACGCCTGCCCAGACACGCTCTCTAAACTGCAAAGTTATTCTGGCACAGAGCTCTCCTTCTTACCACCACCACCACCACCACCACCACCACCATCAGTTCGCGCCTGGCGCCTAGTCGATGCATGGTTAGCGGTATCCGACATAGCAGGCTGGCACATCAGGTAACGCATGGCAAATAGAAGATGGCAACGACATAGCTTGATTGCGACGTACATTTCGTTCTCTCGGTTGTGCTGTAGCCTGAAAAAGGAAATAAGACAATGCATCCACATGACACAGACAAGTAATTACTGTTACAAATAATGCATACTGCTTGATAACAGAGAAAGAAAGTCAGTGGTCACACAAGTTTTTGGTCGTCCCTGAAACGAAGATCGTTCCAGGGGGGGGGGGGGGGGGGGGCTAAAATCTCAGTCGACTGACGCTATGCATACACATGTACATGCATGCGATTTTCGTCGTCCATTCATTTCGGAGGGTGGAGAGGAGGTCCGAGTACGAAATGAATGATGTTTTTTTGCAGGGATGACTAATCACTTTTGCGATGACCCCTTATTGCATCAATTTATCGTCTGAACTGCGCAATTGAGTCCCACTTTTATTATGTTGGGTCCAGATTTCAAGACTCGTGAAGTTCGAGGCGAAAAGCAGGCCGATGAATGGACGCCAGTAATTCAGTCTAGTCCGGTGTCATGGAGAGGGGCCGATGAACCGGCAACAAGAGAATTCAATACGCATGCTACTCTTCAGTTCATTGCTGGGGAAGACTACTCAAGGCCACGTCACTCCGGCAATTTAATGTACAAATCAGCAGCAACACTTGCAAACGTATTCCTAGCAGCTGACCAGCAAGTTACCAGCCATCAGCTCTTCAAATAATTTCAACTTAACAAAGAGAGGAGATGGACAGATCGGAAAGTATCGTGGCAAGCTCAGGACAACACACGTCCGGCCCTATGTAACAACAGTGGAAAGTGCGTGCCATGGTATATTTTCGAAGGCATATCAAGAACCAGATAATGTGGACTGGGAGTCCATTTGCATCGTCCGATCAGCTGCTACAAGTGCCGTGAGCCAATGGCAAACACGTTTGACAGAGACTACTACCTCTACTGAATGCAACTTTGGCATGGCAGAGATCTACAAGCACGTTATCTTATCTATCAATAGAGTTGTATCCTCGTATGACTGTGAAATGTGAGGTCGTACTGTACTGCAGATGCGTCTACGACCTGGTTGGAAATGTACGCAACAGTTCCCACCCTCTTGACCAGAGATCGCACACACCCTAGGGTTTTGATGGGTTTGTACGACTCCCAGCTCTTGACTTTTGTTGGGTGTACGAGACGCACGCACAGTTTTCTTAGGGTGAGTACTTTTTCATGCAGTACTGAATGCGGCAAGCAGGACTCGCCCATCCGCCCCTCCCCAAATGGATCTACTCGAATGGTTCCGGAGGTAGGGGTGCTCTGGCGGGATTTTACGACATACACAAGCGCGCACACACGCACACAATATACACACGCACGCACACACATACACACGAACGCACGCTATGTCGCACGTCTTGGGCATGGCTTCGTGAATACAAATAATAATTTAATGTTATAATTTATAGGATCCAAATGTTAGAGCAGCTTTACAAAACCTACCGTTCAATACCGGATCATCTTGTGACAACTTCCTTGCAACACCCATGACTTGACCCCACTTCGTCTTGATGTCGGGAAATCGTTCACACCGGAGTTGGGACACGACTCATTGAAATCCAGGCCTATCTGCAGCTGGGAGCAGGACAGAGCTGATGGACGTCAGCAGCGGCTGTAGAACAACCATAAACGAGTCTTCTTTCTCCGCAGTCAGGCGGGACAGCAGCTTTGCAACGCAAACTTCTTGCCTTCTGTGGGTCTTTAGCGGCTGGGATTCGGAACGCTCTGTAGAAACCATTGAACAAGTACTGCACTCTATCAACCCACAAGTATTTCTTCCAATTAGCCTTATGCACATTGTACAGATGTACGAAGTTCTGTACTATGGCCGTAGGTGTGTACATACCCGGTTGGGTGTTCATTGTGTGCTATACATGCGCGTTTGACCCATTTAGCCTCACAATTCATGGCAAACGATCACTTTTCAAGCCTTCTTCACTTTGGGATTGAACTAACGACTAGCTAGATCTCTGCCGGAAAAAGATTTCGTATGAAATGCCTTCATGGCCCATTTCATAGTGGAAATAGCAGTAAACACAATAGGGTCCTGCACATTCAACACCCAACCGGGTCTACGGGATTCTACAAGATTATACGGGATTTCGTGCATCTGTACAATGTGCATAAGGCCTATTCATGATTATTCGCAACTTTTTATGCAGTACGTGCACCAGATCAGAAGCCGCTAAGTAGCAAGGTTGAAAGTTTCAAGACAAATTGAAAAATATAATAAGGCCAAACTAAAGAAGGTGTGTGGTTCGACTAACATGGACATTTTTTTTACGGGCGGGCGGGCGGATTTTTTTTTTTTTTAATATATTTTTTAGTACATGTAAATACACTGTACTGCCTTTAGACACCCAGTACATCGGCATTATTACGCAGTGTTATGCCATACATGTTGTATAAAGGGATCACTGGCTAATACTTTGAAACATTGTGTAGCTCTGGAACGAGAAGAGAATAACTTCAAGCGGTGACTCTGACTGTCCAAATCATCAAGCAAATGAAGAACGATGCGAGTTGAAAGTAAGTTCGGGAACTACTTCGAACTCAATCGAAGTACAAATTGTACAATGTACCGGTACATGTATTGCTAGTTTGGTGTCGGCGTGCACGAATACATGGGCTTTTTCCATCGACGCTTCCTGTGCTTGCACACATGGAGCAGCAACTTACCGGTACAGGTGAAATATCGTTCCCAATACACGAGGAAAGTGCAATCTCGTCTGTCCTTCATCCCAAAACAGAAGGCCGTCCAATCACTCTCAACCGGACGGTCACTTCAAAATAAGTCTCGCCAGTCTGCCGGTGGTCGTATCGAGTAGACTCTACTACCAGCACAAGGCAGCAGTCGTACCACTCACTGCACTGCACTGCAGTACAACTACAAGTCAAGTCCAAAAGGAGCCGCCGGCCTGCGTCCGCAGACTCACGCTGCACAACACGTAGACGTGGACGTGGACGTGTTCAGTCCACGTACGTCAGTCACACGACAGCCCGCCGAAAAAAAGTTACGGTCGGGCTGAAAAATAGACATCCTTAGCAAAAGTACGATAACGCTAACTTTTACGGTACTCACTCCCAGCCGTGACAAAAGACGTTATCGGATAACGGAAAAACGTTACAGAGCTCAAAATAACGGGCCGACGTTCGTTATGGAAACTCTGCAAAAAATGCAAAAACTCGCATTGTTTTGTAACTGGCGGGAGATAAAAAGCACGTGCAGATTGAGATGAGAGTCGAGATTGCTTCCTCTTGTGACATTTAGCTTTTTTGGCGAGTTTTGCCTTTCAGTTGACAATGTCTGCGTCCTCTGCTTCGTGCCTTTCTCCCTCTATCCCATCTGGCAAACAAAGGACCAGTTCCACGGCACTCCTGAGGAAGAAATTCATCGGCCTCTCCCAGACGTGCTGGAGCTGGAGAGCCCTTACAGTCTTCGGTGCTGCGTTTAGGAAAGGTTTTCCAAGGGCCTGGAAACAGCGAAAACTCATATTCGCCGTGCTTTTGCTATTCCAGAGTAAAAGACCTCGCCAAGGTATTCTTTCGGAACGACAGCAAACTAATCCCTGGTTCAAAATTTTGAATTTCCCGCACCTGTTTCCACGAAAATTAATATCGCCATGGTTGTCACGACTACTTCGTCTCAACTATAACGTACTTTGTGCTAAGGGAAAAGTCAGCTTGAACGATCCAAAGTACGGAAAGGTTTGCGTTTACGTTAGCGTTTTTTTAGCTAAGGATGTCTAATGTAGACCTACGGTCGGTCGGGTGAGTCGAACCACAGACCTTCTTTAGTGTGGCCTAACATAGAAAATTAGAATTCAAACCATACCTGTGGCCCAAGCCAATACAGACTGAGCGTTCACGCGAAGAGAACGTAGATCTACGTCAGCTGAGGTTTCCTTAGGATCAGGAGGTGATTCTTGACCCGGATCTAGATCGCGATCAGCAGCACTCTCTGCCTCAATCACGATCATCAAATGCAACTAATTACTTGGAAAAGTAGTTCATTCTTCTTCTTCTTTTCGAGCTACGATTTCCCACGATCCTATCGATCCTGCACGAGTCCGTTCACCAGGCCAAGGAGTGCACTCCCAAAGTCCCATGGCATAAGTACGCGGAGTAGTTGGTTTATAACTCAGGGCACGCACCGGGGATATCTGAGGGAAAAGTGGGAGAAAGTGCCGCGAGTCAATCATAGTCGGCCCGGAAGGCCTCGTGTCGCCTCCCGGGTCTATACGACCCGGGTCTATACGACTGCCTGCTTCCAACGGATAGTGGTACTGTCAGACCTCGCTTATCCCGTCCTCTTTTATCCGGAAGAAAATCGCTGGTTATCGATTTACAGCAAGTAACAGCATACGTCATGCATACATACATTTATAATAATGACTGTGTTCGATTATCCGGTTCCCTTGCCTATCCGGATATTTTGGTGGAAAACGGATGTAGTAGTAGTAGTAGTAGTAGTAGAATTTATTATTTTGATAGGGAAGGCCCTACAGACGTTGCCGTCTTGTTACAGGGAACCCTAAGTGCTCTTTACAGAGCGAAACAAAAACGGATAGATGCTCAACCTGACGACACGAGACAGGCAGAGAATTCCACCTATCAGCGCCAAGGAAAGAAATGGAGAACATGCCATATCTAGTGGTAGCAGCGGGCAAAGAAAGTGAAGAGAATGATTGCCCTCTAGTGCGCCTCTCGGTGCAAGTAGCAGCCGACTGGAGGGTGAACATTGAGGAAAGAAGAGGACTTGTAAGCTGATGAATACAGCGGAAAACAAAAATAAAAAGCCTCAAGTTGAGACGAGATTCGAGGGAGTATAACTTAGCGTGCCGCAAAACAAAGACAGTCGGGGTACGGCGAGGGAGACCAAAAACCTGTTTCATGCTGATATGACTTAAAGTAACAAGGCGAGAGTATAAAGATGGTGTAAGACAGTGAGCATACGAGTTGCTGGCGTATTCAATAGTGGATTGGATGAGGGATAAATAAAATATTCGCTTAGTTGTGTGATCTACTGTACGGCGGCAGCGGCGGAATGCTCCTATCTTCTTATAAACAGATGTACACACATGGTTGACTTGATCCTCAAAGGTGAGGTGTTGGTCAATAATGAGGCCAAGATAACGCGCTGTGGCAGAAGGTCGAATATCGACACCACCGCATGCAATGGTAAGATCCGGCGGAAGAGGCAGAGCCTTCTTCCGAAGCACCATGAACTTCGTTTTCTGGGCATTCATGTCTGCTTTCTGTCTGTACTTTTGCACTCCCATGCACTTCTGTTACTAGCGCCTGCGCTTTCTCTCCAGTATACAATGGTTGCATGTGCTTCTAGCACACTTTCAAAGTCATGATTAGGCCATGGTAAAAAATAAAGTTGATTCTCAGGTCATGAGCCTGTGAAAATCGGTGCGAGCGAGCGATTTTTATTTTATTTCCCACAATTTTTTTATTTCCAAAGATAGGGTCACACATATGTACGTCACAGGTTCATATAATTATTTTTATTATTCAGGCCAGGGAGTAGAAAAATACCGGTATTTTACTACTCCCTGATTCATGCGTTTCGCATTGACCGTTTTCATGTGCGCTTATGCATGCATAGAAATAAAAAAAATCGTCGGTGCGCCGCCAAACATCGGTGCGCGCGTACTTGAGAATCAAAGATATTTTTTACCATGGCCTTAGATTATCACCTTGCAGAGCTGCTAATGCTCTTGCCCACTTCATTCCTGATGATGGTGACTACCGTGGCTAAACGTTGAAATACCCTTTTTCTCCTGAAATGATTTTGTGAAATGTAGTGATTGAGTGTGAGCCATGGCCAGTGTGGCTTACAGTTACAAGACAGTAATGTTACAACCCATTTTTCCTGGAGCTGCGTGATGCATCCTAAAAGAAACTGGATCATCACTCAATGACACGGTCACAAGGCTTCATTCGCGCGGTATCACTATGCATGGCCGCATGGCGCATGCCATCGATTGAGCTTCTGTGGCAAGTAAATTAGTTCTGAATCACAACTACAAAAAACGATGGTACCGGGACCGTACCGGTATATACCAGGGAGTAGTAAAATACTTTTACTACTCCCTGGTATACTGTAAATATACAAAATTTCGGCGCTGCAAAATTTCGGCACTTCACGATTTTTGACATTTCGGCGGCGATTTATTTTCGGCGTGGGGTAGAGGGCGTGGTATAGTGCGACAGATGCTGTGAAAAATTTCATCGGCGTTTTAATTTAGGCGTTTTGGGTCGGTGCCGAATATAGCCGAAATTAAATAGCTGCCGAAAATTTGTATATTTACAGTATACCGATCAGTACATGCACGAACATGCCACGCGCACGGGGCGCGGAGTCGCTAGTCGGTGCACCCGTAGATCTACCGTGCACAACTCGCTGCACGTGCATCACCTGCCACAGGTGGCGCATATGTTTGTATTTTCTCTCTCTCTCTTTTTTTTCTTTTTGAGAGCAAATGCCGGAACCAACTGTTATTTCGGAGCACAAATGCCGGGTTGTGCCATGGCTGCACTTGCTACAGAGCTACAGTTCACTGGGGTCTGAAGGCTATAAAGCCGCTCCAACTGCCCGGATTTTCCGACATAACCTAGTGCTAGTAGTAGTAGCCGTACTGTAGGTAGGGTTGGCGACAGTGCGGTGTTTTAGATGGCAGAAACTGCCGCCAGTTCCGGCCACAGCGCCACCAATCCCTTGCTCAAACCACTACAAGCACAAGATAACGATGTTGTGAAAGGCGATGACCGGGATTCAATGCCACGCGGACACAAAAGCCATGTCGCTAGCGAGCCAGATATTTCGGCCGTGCGCCGATTTCTCATCTTGGCTACGCTGGCAGCGGTCATTACCGCCGTGGATCTGACGTCCTTTGGTGCCTTCTTCACGACCGTGGCACTGAGCAAGAACGCAAATGGAGGAGCCGACTATCACATGGCAGTGGGTGCAGTGTTCACCATGCTGCAGGCCGGTTGTGTCCTGTCCGCTCCGTTCGTGACCAGGGATCTACCCTACATTGGTAGCAAGTACATGATGGCGCTGAGTATCGCCACCATGGGAGCAGTGCAGGTGATATTTGCGTTCGTCGACCGGATTGCAGACTGGAGAGTGTTTCTAGTCTACTGCTACATCATCAGAGCCATACAAGGTGTAGGTTACTCCGGTGTGTCCATTTCGACCAGTAGCTACATCACGCAGCTCTACCCGAACAACGTGGGCTTCGTGAACGGCTTCATGTTCACTTTCACCTATGTTGGCCACGCCGCAGGCATGTTTCTTGGCGGCGTGCTGTTCGAAGCAGGTGGGTTTCCCGCTCCGTTCCTGCTGTCTGGCCCGGCAATGCTGTGCTGCGCGGTGGCCGTCATGGTTGTTATCGTGGATATTGGCGGCGAAGTGGATGCGGACGGCGACATTTCGGAGAAGCACATTAGTGTGCGCGTCATTCTGCGCCAGCCATGGATCTGGGTCCTGATGGTTACGGTAGCTTTGTCTCCTGTACCGTACAGTGGCATAGAGTCGGTGCTCGGGCTGCACATGAGGTCGGTGTTTGGATCACGAGCCATATCCGTCGGCGGAGTTCTTTCGACGAAGATCGCAGTCGGAGCACTATCGTGTCCGGTGATCGGTTACGCATTGGACCTGGGATACAGTGCGCATGTTTCTGTCTTCGTCTCCTTTCTGCTCACCGGCACTGCGTGCCTTCTGCTGGGTCCGGCTTCGTTTCTACACCTGGGCAGCTCTCTGTGGCTTGTGTTCCTGTCGGTAATACCGATGGCCGTGGGGCATACTGCAATGACCGTCTCTAGTATCTATGCCATGACGCAGCATTTGCAACGGGTCGGTGTTGGATCGGCCGTGCAGGTGCGCGTAGCCATTGCCGGTATATCGCGGGTGTGCCAGTCATCCGGCTACGGCCTGGGACCGCTTCTCACCACGCCGCTGGTGGCTCTGCTGGACTTTCGGACTACGTGGACCGTCTACGGTCTCATCTACTTGGCCCTGGGAGTGGTGTTTGCTGTCTTATCTTGCCTGTACTCAGTGCGGCACGGACATAGTGCGCATAAACGTACGAGTGACAGCCTGGCAGCTTCTGATTCTCCCGGCGCTGTCATGGCAGCAGCCAATGTCAGCGCTGGTAGCCGGAGTGTGGCCACTGAGAATATTCCACTGAATCCCCGGTGATGCTATCAAAATAGTGTTAGCTCTTGTTTTTAATGGCCCTTCTCTAGAACTATGGTATGGGAATACGAGAACTTCTAAAACAAATTGGACTCGGATGGAGAGCCAAGGATTAGTTTATAGAAAATAAAAAGGACCAAGGAACTAAAAAAGTGGACATTACAGCGTAACTTGTAGTTCCTTGTCCTTTTTCCTAAAAAAAATAAAATTTGATTGCGTTGACACTCCTAGTACTGAAAATGGTATTTTTTTCTTCTTCTTGAAAATCTTTCTTTAGCCCTAAAGACATTGCTACGTACATGTACATCAGCCAGCACAGGTTTGTAATCTTGCAATGTCGATTCTAAACACAGCTCCAAAATGTGCTCTGAACTGCTAGTGTACATATACATCAGCGCTTGAGACGAAATTCCAAATGTTAAAAAAATTAATGAAGCAGAAAAATTCCTGCACAAATTAATTGAATAGTTTAGTGTAACTTCAAGAAATCCGATTCATTACAATAATAATTGTAGTGCAATGCTACAGGATGATACACAAACACCCGTAGCATTTGTGCAAGCTTTCCCATGTACGCGCTTGCACATGCACACCCCCCCCCCCCCCCCCCCCACACACACACACATGCACACACACACACATGCAGCTTCACATCATAATAGAAGCGAAGCACACAGCTAGTGTCAGGGCCACAGAGTTCTTTGCAGACTAAAATAAACACTACAACAACAACAACAACAACAACAACAACAACAACATCGTGAGAATAAAGATTTGAAGCAACAACAACAACAACAACAACCACCACCACCAACAACAACAACAATAACAGGCTAACTGTGTCCAAAGCCACCAGCAAGTCCTGTACAGAGTCTCATCATGTTTCTAGTTTTGTCCACCGGGCGCGTTAGTGCGCATGGATGCCGACAGCGAACGGCCACTTTCAGAGAGCGCCACCGAGCACGTCTGTACGCTTTTCCAACTGACGGCCGCCTCCGCTGGGTTACTGAGCGCGGGGTCGCTGGAGAGTTTGGCCAGCGCCTCCATCAGCTGAATGGCCGCCGAGACGACCTTCATGCCATTGGCGAGAATGTCCTTCTGACGGCTGCGAGCCGATTGCGACAGCTGCGCCGGCCTACCAGAGAACTCGGGCAATGACGTGTAGTCGACGAGGGCTTGTAACGAAGCCAGCAGTGGCTTCAGGAAGAGCGCGCACTTGGCGCGATCGCTATTGTCGCCGCGCTCCGCCAGCGTCTTGATCGCGGCCAGCAGCGCGGCCGTGTTGCCCTGCAGCGCCTTGACGCACGCCGACAGCTGACGGCGTATGACCTCGCCGTTGTCCATGCCCAGCGGGGATGACATCACTGATGAAGTCACCACCACCGACGACGATGTTCCCACCGACTCGGCTCGCTTCATGGCTACCTCGCAGGCCTGGCTGACCAGTGCCAGGTTTGTGGCGATGTTTGACGACACACGCAGCACCTCGCTCTCGTCCATGACGCCATAGTTGGAGGAGAACTTGTGGCTGGACGCCTCGATGCCTGCATAGAATATGGAGGAAAATCAGAATCCAACTCAGAGACGGCTCCAGATATTCTATGGGGGGGGGGGGGGGAGGATTTAACCAAAATTCATCAGCCAATAATATGCATATACATGTAGAATTATATTGGAGAAGCCTGCACTTGCACCGTTGTGATGATTACTACAGGAATGTTTGCAGGGGGGGGGGGGGGGTCTCGTGTTACTTTACGGTGTATGCCCAGACTCCAACACGTGCACACACACACACACACACACACACACACACACACACATATGCACATGTAGACTCTGCAGGCAGATTGACAGAACAAACGCTAACTGCGAAGCAGCCGTACCTTGCTTGGCGCGCATCATGCGATATCGATCAATGAGACCGGGAACTGACGGCGTGCTTCTGTCGTCCGACAAACCGATGAGATATGCTGCCTGTGTGGAGGACTCAGTTAGCGAGATTACCACCTCGGTCAGCTGAGCAGTGATATCAAATACCTGCACAGTACAGGGAAGTGAGTATGGGATCAGCTCTCTACCGGGCGCCATTTTGTTCCACATTTCCATGGAAATGGTAGAAACGTAATTCCAAAATGGGTGGCCAAAAATGCTCACGCCACAACACCTACATTGCATCGTGTGTGCGTGTTTGTGTGTATCTGTGTCTGTGTGTGCGTATGTACATGTGTGTATGAAAAAGACCAAAAAGTAGCTACGGTTTCACAGGCCAGAAAAAGCCATTTCATAGCTGTGTGGTGTAGACCAGGCTGAATAGTGGCGGTCAATTCTTCAGCCTTGCAAGCTGTTGAATGGTGCAATCCCAGCTCAAGTTGCTATGGCTTCTGCTGTAGCATCGCTATCATTGCCTCTGGCGATGGGCGTCAAATGGTCAAATAGCCAAATGGTGTGTGTATGTACGTGTGTGTGTGCGTGCGCGTGCGTGTGTGTTTGTGTGTGTGCGCGCGCGCATGCGTGTTTGTGTGTGTGTGTGTGTGTGTGTGTGTGTGTGCATGTGCGAGCATGTGTGTGTGTGTGTGTGTGTGTGTGTTTCCTACTGTGTAGGGTATGTTTACCCGTCATATCATACACAAAGTATGAATGGCTTAGGTAGTACACTACCGGACCAATCAAAAACTGCTTCCATCAGTTCTGATGTGTGCACTCTTACTGAACTGAATACGGTTACGCACAGCAACACCCACCTGATCAAGTTCCCTTTCCTTCATGGATGCACGCAGGTTGTGAGCCAGGATTGCCAGCTGTTTGGTACTGGCCACGACGACATCACGACACTTGCCGTACGACGACGTAGCCACAGTGAGCGTGCTCTGTGAGCTGCCGACCTGCACTGGTTCTAGAGCTGGAGAGACATACAGGCGCACAAATCATGACATAGTGTGTGTATTGACAGTCGTATTTTATTGTTATTTTATCAACTTTTTCGTGTTTACATCGCCAAGAAAGTTCGGCTAGCCTTCGCATAAGCCAAATGGAATGAAGAATGAGGAACTAGCGTCTAGCGGGGTGAATGAGGCATGACGTGACACGCACAAATACACAGTGCATTGACACAGGTGCACAAATGCACAGTGTGTTGACATGGGTGTAAAGTGTCTGTGTATTGAGTCTACTATTGACGTAGGCGCATAGATACAACAGTGCTGGCAACTGAAATCCGATCCCTGAGCGGTGCGCTCACATCGCAAAGACCCAACACGGGATTGTAGAACTGCAAAATCGAGACCGATAGAATGTGAACGCATCGCTAAGGGGTCGGATTTCAGTGGCCAGCACTGTAGTACCCTGTCTGTATTGACATAGGCGCACGAATACACTATGTACATTGACATAGGCACACAAATACACTTTGCGTATTGACAGAGCCACCATGGGTGTGCTCTGTGAGCTGCCAACCTGCACTGGTTCTGGAGCTGGGGAAAAATAGGTATACAGTCTACTTTGCGTATAACGACACTCGGCGGGGTATCAGAAAAGTGTCCTTATTCGCGAAGTCTCATTATATGTATACAGGTAGATGGGACTTTGCTCTGGGCATGGAAATTCTGTCGTTATTCGTGAATTGTCATTATATCCGCAGTCGTTATTAGTGAAGTTGACTATATACAATTAATACACTCTATATGATAGTGTTTTGTACAGTGCTGGCAACTGAAATCCGACCCCCTCCCCGAGCGGTGCGCTCACATCGCAAAGACCCAACACTTGATGGTAAAACTACGAAACAGAGACCGCTAGAATGTGAACCCACCGCTCAGGGGGTCGGATTTCAGTTGCCAGCACTGTATGACCGCCTGTCTCATTATGGCTTTGAAAACAATCCTGATGTTCAAGATATGCACTGCCTGCTAGGCATATGCGGATAATGCTGGCAGAATTCGGTACTTTTTCTGGTAAGTTTCATGCATGTTTGGTATGTGGATAAAGAAATGGAGCAGAATTCGAAGAATTGCACGCCATAAGGTTTGTATGGTTCTGCCAATTTCACAGCTTTTCGAACAGAATCTGCCACCTTTTCGAGCATTATGCGCCAATGCCTAGTCGGCACATAATAGCCCTTGACGGGTGATACCGGCAGACAAATTGGCAGAATCTGATGACTTTTTTCTGGTTTGTTTCATGCATGTTTGGTATGTGGATAAGGACATGGCGTAGACGTCAAGGAAGTGCTGGCCACAAGGTTTGTATCATGGTTATGCCAATTTCACTGCTTTCCGAGCAGAAGCTGCCGATTCTTCCCAGCATTTTCCGCCAAGGTCTATGGCACACAGCCTTCCAGTGCTGCTCAATGAAATCCAGTCGCGTCGCTCCAGTTTGCGCCTTGCACCATTTCGCAGCCCAACGTCCGTAGGTCCGGGAGTGCGCCATGCCCGGCGCGCACTTGAGTGAAGCGCCTTGATTTCATTGAGCAACACTGTACCGTATGCACAAGTACAGTACATGTAACTTACTTACTGCAATGCTGGTCAGAGAACTTCAACCTCATGAACACAGCAGCGTCACGTGACGTTCCAGTGCACAGACCAGTGTGTGTACAGTGTAGTGCTAGAGCCACGCTATTTTATTCATGAGGTTGGATTTATTTGGCCAGTACCATGAGTACTGTCTGTAGATGAGTGTAGTTGTGTTCCATGTAGTGCAGACTGTCAGCCTTACCTGTCGGTTCCACGTTGTCTCTGAGTAGCAGCAGCTCCGCTACCACCTGCATCTGCTCCGCACAGTCCGTGCACAGCCTGGCCACGCTGCGATGGTCTACCGTATCCATACCTGCGTCCATTGTACCAGTCCTTGGCTAGTGATTGCTGGCTAGACTGCCACTCTCGTCCAGTAACACCGCCTCAAACCCTCACTCGGTGTGAATACTTCTACGGAATCTGCCTTCTGGATGGAGGCAGCGGCACGCAATGGCTTGAGCAGACGTGTCAGAATCTCTCATGAAATCGAGAAGTCGAATGCACGAGTAATGACCAACAAGCCTCCACGATCCAGGTGCGAGCGAATCGTTGAATGGGGTAGAGTTACGCTTCGGACCAATCCTGCCTTGCGGGCGCTCAATCAATGCCAATGGGTGCCTCGGACGAACAGGACGGCAGACAGCGCTGAAGGATCGGCAAAATGCGACGTCGCTGGGTGGAGTGAAATCCGGATCGATGAAGTCCACTGCGTTCCCTCAGTCACCCTGTGGACGGTCCGACCCCAAAGCAAAATGATCTATCCTCTGCTCCACCCCACTAGAATCTAACAGCCGCCAGCGCTTGGTCAAAGAAAAGCTAATGAGAGGGGAAACGTAACGTCGTTGCTGGACCTCAAAAGGCCACCACTCTTTGAGTCAACTTTGGCTTCTGAGACAGGTTACCCCTGGTGTCTGTGCTCAACTAAAGTCTCCAGCGAACTCTGCTTCACTATTACTACAATACAGTGTACAGCGCATTAGACCTCCAGGGTAAACCTAGTAGGTCTACTGGTAATAGAGTCCACACACCCAGTAACCTTTGTTCGGTATCAGCAACAGTCGCATTGCCAAGAATTGGTGCTGCACCTTGTCACTGGTTCTGGAGATCTCGAGTAGATTTCTGTCCGGAGACCGTCCATCGCAGACTGCCAGTTGAGTTAGATCTACAAGCTAACTCTCTGGTGTCGGCTGTCTACTGTCAACGTCTGTGAGCCGGACGGGAACGATCATTGCGTGGATTATTCCAGGGGTCTACAGTCAGTAGTCCTAGTGTAGTACACGTTGTATTCAACAGACAGGTTGTCTCGTAGAACAGCCAGCCAGGCAGTGGATCTAGCCCTGTACATTATTCTGTATAATATGTATGTTACAACCAGGGAGTAGTAAAATACATGTATTTTACTACTCCCTGGTTACAACTCGGTCGAGAAGGCTGCATGGTCTGGCTGCGGCAATGGCATTGTATTGTAATCAGGGAGTAGCACATAGTCGATACTTGCTACTCCCCGGTTGTTATCGATCAGTCTGCCACCATCAGAGTCAGTGACGTGCATGTTTATGGACACACCCGTCTTGATCTTCCGTACCTTGGTTGACTGGACTTTAGTCAGGTGTCCAGCTGCCAGTAGATCTACGCCAGCAAGTACTGCAACCCTGACCTGGACGGATAATGCTCGAAAAGACCGATTCTGCTCGGAAATCAGTGAAATTGGCAGAACCATACAAACCTTGTGGCAGGCAATTCCTCGAATTCTGCTCCAATTCTTTATCCACATACCAAACATGCATGGAACATACCAGAAAAAGTACCGAATTCTGCCAAATTTCTCTGCCGGCATTATCCACAAAGGGCTACATGTGCAATCATGGTATTATATAACCCAATACTATTACTAGTTCAAAACTACGAAGTAGTGGATGCGACTTCGGCGAGGTTTGCCAAGTCGAAGGTTCGATGGACTTCTCGTGTGCTCTAGATGGCAGTCGTGAGTCAGTCAAGTGTCAAGTAATGTCGGCGGAATAGCGCGAGCTCCGGTGTGGGGAGCAAACCCTTTCTTAGTTCAAAACTAGTATTAGATAAACCTCCACCTTGTTTCATGCTGTCAATCTAACAATATGCATGTACATGTACATGTACATGTACCTGCCAGACAGACTCCCCTGCTTGCGCTGCATAGCGAGGAGGACCCAAGTCTGGCGCCAGACTACTATTGACCACAAACTGGAACGCCACAATGATGACTGCATGTATGTGTGTGGCAGGATGAGGAATTACCTTTTCAAAGAGCATCCCTCGGAAAATTACGATCTTTACTCTACAGACTACTTCAGGTCAGGATGCGAAGACTCCACTGGAACCAATTCACCATACGAAGTCTAGGCACTTCGACAGGTAATACTTTTAAAGACTTAGTAATAATTATTGAGCGCTGGTGTTGGTCTCGCTCGAAGATGTACATGTACGTGTGCAATGTGTTAGAGCTCACACTTCAGGGTAGACATCACCATGGTGCACATTCACTGCATTCAAAGTACAATCTGAGATTCTCACCAGACCAGAGAAAAAAGGCAGTAGCCTGTTGCCACTCCCCTGGTAACATAGTAAAAGACAATGCATGCACGGTGCACATACGGTAGTCATAAGACAAGGAGGAAATTTTCGTTTTGCCAGCAGAGAGGGCTCGACACTATAACGTGCAGCATTATTATACACAAAAGACACGAAGAATGTTTAGAGACTTCGTCGCAACAGTCCCAGTTTCTTGCACAATGCAATCATAAGTCGCCCGATGAATCCTCCTTAGGCATTGGCGGATAATGCTCGAAAAGGCGGCAGATTCTGCTCGAAAAGCAGTGAAAATGTCACTTCTCTGCGGTTGACGTCACAGTATAAGAATTAGCAGAGAAGTAGTGTTCTCAGTCCACCCGGGAACGGGTACGAGGGAGCACGGTGTGGGATAAAACTATTAAAAGGAGGTGACGACTCTGACGAGTGCAGGGTCGGCCTCTTTTTGTCTTTGTGCGGAGAGTTGAGTGAGAGTGCCAACCCACCCACCCCAGTAATCATCATGTAATTTCATAATAATCATCGCTTTGATTATTCTAGTGATTTGATTATTCTAGAGTGTGCAGATGCATAATGGTCGGGCGTAGTTTTCTGGTTGTACGTAGCTGGAGTTTTTGTTAGACTAGGCAATGGTTCTGTATAGTCATGACCACGGAATTGTGTGCAAAGACAATAAGTTGGGGCGCTGTGCTGTGGTGGCCCCCACTGGCAATGTTCACGTGTTCAAATACACGTATGAGTGAGTGTGCGGATGTGTGCACAACGAGTGAGTGCAGGGTGGACAGAGAATTGGCAGAACCATACAAACCTCATCATCGGGGCGGGCAATCACTCGAATTTTGCTCCATTTTTATCCACATACCAAACATGCATGAAACTTACCAGAAAAAGTATACCGAATTCTGCCAATTTTCTGCCGGCATTATCCGCAAAGGCCTACAGACTAGTACAGTGATGATTGCTGATTGTGCAAGAAACTCGGAGTTGCGACGAACCGTCTGTAAACCTCCTTTGTGCTTTTTGTGAGTAGTGATAAGACACATGGTTTCAATACTTCGCCAAAACATTACGGAACAGGGACAGAAGTTTCATGCGGGCCCTTGGTAGAACAGACGATGGCGGTTGTTGTTGATGCTATTGGCGACTGAGTGTGTGCCGAGGCCATTGGTGCATGATGGCATTGGTCTGCAAAGCCTACAGCACCTCTTGTACAGTATTGCCATTTCGACCACTGCCTGGTAAAGCTTATAGTTATGTCCACATGTCTCCTCCTTTCAAGATTACCGTGACCGTACTTCCTGATCCGCCTACCATGTCGCATGATGCGAGGTAATGCCCCTCCCCCCCTCAGCAAGACTTAGGGTCCGGCGGATTCTGCGCAGTGCCGGCAGAAAAATTGGCAGAATTGGGTACTTTTTCTGGTTCTGAGTTTCATGCATGTTTGGTATGTGGATAAAGAAATGGAGCAGAATTCGAGGAATTGCGGGTTTGTATGGTTCTGCCAATTTCACTTCTTTTCGAGCAGCCTGAATCCGCCGGTCCGGTTACTGAGTACATGTATGTTACTTCTACACCGACAACCAGAGAACAACAAAGATGACAACAGTGCCTTGCAACCCTACGTCATAATAAAATGAAAAAAAACCTCTTGTTTGCGATCTGAATGCGCATTCATGTTCAATGTTTGCTTTTCAAATTTCTTTTTATTTGAACGTCAATGAAAAAGCAGAATCAATGACAGGGAAAGGAGAGTAGGTGTTTGTTGGCGAAAGATACGCCATAAGTTCGTGCCGCAATGGTCCGGCCCAGTGCGGATTTGCACCTGCGAATTATTTATCTGTTCGTGGGCCTGACTTGCGTTTGGGCTGAGAATGGCAACACCGAAGATGCCGCTGCGCTAAACTCGGATTTGGACTACGACCATCCGAAAGTCTGGACCAAAGGAGCGCAGAGGCGGCGCTGCTGGGGCTACGAGAAGAACTGTGCCGAGAGTCAACGCATGTTCAAGGGCACGTCATGCATCCGAAAACAGGGCGAGTCCCCGGAAGCGTTCAGTCGCCGCCAGGGCGACTTCTGGAGCTCGGCGGACTGGGGTTACGTGTCCAAATTCAAGGACAGCATGGTGGAGATCTGTAGCCAGCGCTCGGCCAGCGACTCTCTGTTCAAGTGCAGCACAGACAACGCCATGTGCATTGCCAAAAACATGTACATGGATCTGCGGCAGCTGGACCATCATCAACATGGCAACGCACATCGCAAGGACGTGCTCAGCAAGCCGGGCATGTTGGGCGGTCGATGTCGCATGCACAACGGCCGCATGGCCACGCGACGACCGTCCGACGTGCTGCAGGCGTGGACGGACGAATTGGAGGGCTTTGGCAATCTGAAGTTCCGTCCGCACGCGACGGCGAAGCAGTGCGACGTCTGGCTAGACAAGCCAACCGTGGTGATGAAATTCGACTCCGGGGTCAACCTGTACCACCACTTCTGCGACTTCTTCAACCTGTTTGCCACGCAGCACGTGAACGGCTCATTCACGCGTGACCTGAACGTTGTGATGTGGCACACTGGACGTACGCCGTTCTTCGACCTCTTCAAGGACGTGTGGCGGGCGTTCACGCTCGCCGGTGACTTCAAGCCGTTGGGCGACTACGACGGCAAGCGGGTGTGTTTCCGCGACGTCGTCTTCACGCTGGGCCCGCGCATGCCGCTCGGCCTCTTCTACAGCACCCCGATACCGGAGAAATGCTCCGGGTCCGGACTGTTCAAGGCCTTCCACCGTCACATGGTGCATCGCTTTAACCTGACTAGTGACCGCGGTAATGTAACCGAGCCGGCGTACAGGCTGAGGGTGAAGTTCATGGCGCGCAAGACCAAGTGGCGACGTGTGCTCAACCAGGATGAGCTGATCGCGGCGCTGCGCAGCACGGGCCGGTATGACGTGGAGGTGAGCAAGCACTGCATGTGCCTGTGTATGGGGGAGGGGGGGGGGGGGGGGGGGGGGGTTGGGGTCCGAATCACATACATTGTGTTGGGGAAAGGCCATAGGAAATGGCACATGACATCTGATCACTATTTCCACAAAAGGTGACAAAAGAGTAGTAATATTTCCACTGAAACTCGTCCAAAGGGCGCCCGGTAGACCGAAGTGCCCGTACCTTCGGTGTTCTACATAACCGAGGTCTGAGTGTATTACTATTAGGCCATCAATTTTTATATCTATGTTTCGCGTCGTACGCGCGCATATGTCTTGATTTTTTTCAAAAAAATAAAAAATATCGAACATGCACAGTGAGTGTACGATAGTGCGAGTCATCAGTGTGGACTGGTTGCATACGGCGAAGCTGGGATTCAGAAATGGCCTCGGGGCCAGCGTTGGTAAACGTTTGTTCGGCAACTGCGAGCAGTATTCTATGAGCTTACACCAGACCGCATCGATCGCCTCCAGCTGAGAGGATGCGTCGTTCCGGAGCTCTTTCCACCGCTGCTGAAGGCTGAGTACAATAACCCAGCGAAGCATGGACACCAACGGTTGCCTCCTCTGTCCAAAGTGAATATTTACTCATGCTGGTAAACCAAATTGTGTGCTTCGTTGTACGATTTTTCTTTCGAATGTACACCATGCACGAGCTATTGTGCTATGTACAGTGCCATCCACTTCTGACGAGACTTTTTTTTGCGCAACTTTTTACTTTTTTTCCACCTCTCGCATATGATTCTGGAAGTTGAACTGATGCGAAACATAGATATAAAAAAATGATGGCCTTATGTATGGTTGCGTGCATGGGTGTGCATGTGTTCATATGCGTATCTGTGTACTGACTTTACCAGTCTTACTCGTCCCTTCTCATCCCTCCCCTCATCTCTTCTTACTCATCCCTTCCTTGTCCTTCACCTGTATTTGTTGAAGTCTACAGATTTGGCTCATATTCACATCAATGTTTTATTTACAATACAGATAGCCTGACTCTTAATCTGACGCGCTGTGTTACTGCTGCTACTGCTGCTGCTGCTGCTGCCGCCACTGCCGCTGCTGTTGTTGTTGCTGTTGTTGCTGTTGTTGCTGTTGTTTCTGTTGCTGCTGTTACTGCTGCTGCCGCCGCCACCACTGCTGCTGTTGTTGGTGTTGCTGCTGTTGCTGCTGCTCCCACTGCTGCTGCTGTTATTGCTGTTGTTGCTGTTGTTTCTGCTGCTGGTGCTGCCACTGCTGCTGCCACTCCTGCTGCCACTGCTGCTGTTGCTGCTCCTACTTCTGCTGCGATTGCTTTTTCTGCTGCCATTGCGACTGCTGTCACTGTTGCCACTGCTGCTGTTGCTGTAGGTGGTGGAGTTCACCCGTGAGGTCCCGCTGATCTCGCAGTTCCAGACGGTTCACAACGCGGACATTCTCGTCGGAATGCACGGCGCCGGCCTGACGCACTCGCTGTTCCTGCCTGACTGGGGCGCGCTGTTCGAGCTGTACAACTGCGAGGACGTGCGCTGCTACCGTGATCTGGCAGCGCTGCGCGGTGCCCACTACGTCACCTGGAGCGACAAGAGCAAGCTGACCGCCGTCGAGAGGTCGCCCGATCACCTCAACTCGGCCGTGGAGAAGTTCTCCAACTATCGCATGGACGCCGACGAGTTTGTGCGCTTGGTTGACAAAGCAGCCACTGCCGTCCAACAGAGGCTGCCCAAGCGTCGCCCCAAGGATGAGCTCTAAGCGTGGAGGTGTCCTCATGGCCGATGGAGCTTTTCTCTCATCCCAGTGCCCACTGAGTACGGTATGCAGTTTCAACAGCCTGTTGTGTAACTAGGATGAGCTGTCTTAGAATGTCTGTACCAGTGCTCGAGAGAAGCCGGAAGAAAGGCGGATTTATTTATTTATTTAATAAAAAACCGACCACTACACAGCAACGCTTGACAGGCTGTGACAGCATCACGGACAGCCTTGCGCTGTCGCGTCTTCACCCTGGGGGCTGGTGAGGGCAGCGCTCTGCCTCGAGGTACGTCTCACCGCCCCTACGTGCTATGCGCGTCCTCGCTGCGCTACAACCACAGCAAGAACCTAGTCACGCGGCTGTTGGTTATCTTGTGTGTACACATTGTAGTTATTATGCTGGTTTATCATCATGTCTCCTGCCATTCTGTATAGGAAAGGCGTCGCTACCACTACCTTGTGCCATTCTCTATTCCATCTGCAATGGACGTCAGCTACATCGATATTAGTTTGGAGAAAGTCACGCATCCTGTTCTAACCAAGACTGCAAGTGGTGCGCAGTTTTAGGACTGCTGTTTCACATACCTCGCAAGCATGCACACACACTTAGGTCTCTCCCCCCGCCAGCGGACACACCCTCTCTCTTTTCTCTAACCGTTCAGAATTATTCGAGAATTCACCTTATTTTGTTGGACCAGCAGATAAGTGCTGGCAAATCCGTGGTGTACGTTGTGTATTCAGGGAGCAGGGTGTATGTGTGTGTGTGTGTGTGTGTGTGAAAAATAAAATAAATAAATAAAAAATGAAAAATAGGGACTCACTGGCCAGAAAAAGCCACTTCAATCAGCTGTGTGGTGGATACCAGGCTAAAATTAGTGGCGGTCAATTCATCAGCCTTGCAAGCTGTTGAATAGTGTAATCCCAGCACAAGTTGCCATGTCTAAACATAGCTGTTCGCTATCATCGCTTCTGCGGTGGGCAGGTCTGAGGTGTGTGTGTGTGTGTGTGTGTGTGTGTGTGTGTGTGTGTGCGCGTGTGTGTGTGTGCCTGTCCCTGCATCATTGGGGCCATGGTTTAAATTTCGATCATATAGTTTGGGATCATGGCTGTTGACGTGAATTGAATCATGTTTTAATGTGTGTAGCGTCAGTTTTCCTTCTCCTTTCTCTGTGTGCGTGTGTGTGTCTCTCTCTCTCACTCTCTCTCCCTCTCTCTCTCTTTCTCTCTCTCTCTCTCTCTCTCTCTCTCTCTCTCTCTCTCTCTCTCTCTCTCTCTCTCTCTCTCTCTCTCTCTCTCTCTCTCCTGTTCTAACCCCTAGAGATGTTTTCCATACTGCATGGGACTTATTCTTTACTAGTATACCATATTGCTTTGCAGTAAATGAACCAAGATTCCTCTCAATGAATGAGGAGGCATTTGGCTGCATGGGAAAGTTAGCTATGCAATTGAGCAAGGTTTCAGAGCTCTTATGCGTGTGCATGTATACTCGACTCTGGTGCAGTGGCCAGACTGATGCTGAACATGCATGGGAAGTGTATCTGTCTATTTTTGTTTGGGATTGATCACATATGTTTTGTATGGATTCAGATCGTGCCTGTGTACCATACTGGCCAACCCTCCCGGTTTCCCCGGGATAACAACACTACTCCCGGGGTCCCGGGGATTTCAAGAAAACTCCCGGAAAAGTCACAGTTTTGTCTGATACAGTCGACCTACCCTTATAACGATATTTGCGTCAGACCAAGAAATATTGTTATAAGGGTAATATTGTTATAGGGGTAACTGGTTCATTTCATACACATACGTCATAATGCATGGATTTTGTTCATTTTTTACACTCTTTATAGCATAAAAAACTGACATACATGCACATTATGTACACAGCAAGGTGCCCACTTGTGCCCCCATTGCATTTCGTCATGTCCCAGCGACTTATCAAGTGAAGCTTGCCCTGCCTGGATAGTGGGCTCTACATCTTCCCTGCTAGATATTGTTTAAAATGGAAAATGTTGATTGGTCAGCCCATTTTATATCGTTATAGGGGTAATATCGTTATAGCAATATTGTTATAAGGGTAGGGCATTGTATACAGAAGTCAATGGAGTGATTTGGTTTGGCAGAAAAATATCGTTATAAGGGTAATATCGTTATAGAGGTTATCGTTATAAGGGTAGGTCGACTGTACACAATTTTCCTGAAATAGTCTAGGAGCCAAGTCGGCAAAAGTCCAAGGAATAAGGAGTTAGTGTGACACCTTGTCCAGGAAAGATTTTTTGACGGATTTGGAATGGCATAACAACCAGTAACTGATCCCTGAAAACCAGAACGTGCCAAAGTTGTCCATTCAAGAGTTATGGCCGATTTACTAAAATTGCCATGGTTACCATAGCAACGTACATGTAAATTGCCTCTTTTTAGCTCAAAAGACACGCAATATGGGTCAAATAGATAATGAATGGCTGTCAAAGTCATAAGTGAAGATAAAAGTTCCCAAAACTGCCTTCAAAATATTATAAATGTCATCAAAAGTGAATTATTTAATACTGGTGTGGTTTGTATACATGTATGTACAATGTACATTGTACATGTATTTGGTATCATTATTGCATTGTATGTAGAGGTAGTATCGCAGTTACTTATCAGTGGGAAATTGCTGTATGGTCACCAGGAGCAGCGCTTGACACTGGCACACTGAAGTACGAAATTAGAACTGTTCAGTATGCTTCACAAACAAGGAATGAATCTGCCCTACATGTACATGTAGGTACAGTGACCGTGCAGAAGGGTGAGTCGTCAGGCAGAGCTGTTGCAGCTCTTCGCTAGTCCTTTTCTCTATCCTCCAGCGACTATGTGTCAAGCTGCAGCAAAAGCTCTGGACCTGAAATCCGTGATGGCCATCGGATGGAGAGGTTGTAGCATACCATCAATGGGCAGCGGGATCTGGGATACCATCATACCAGGCTGAGCAGCAGCACATGTCTCCTGAAAGAGCTGCCTGGAAGGTGGCTTTGGCTATACGGATATACATGTAGTTATGGGAGTCTTGGAAGCGGGACGACTCATGGATAGCCCACTGGAGTCATGAAGAAGAGCTGTTATCGTGCCTCGTTGACAGATGTAGTCGCTGGAGGATAGAGAAAAGGACTAGCGAAGAGCCGCAACAGCGTTGCCTGACGACTCACCCTTCTGCACCAAGGTCTGGGGCAGATTCATTCCTTGTTGGTGAAGCGTACTGAACAGTTCTTTTTTGGATGGAGAGCCAAGGATAAATTTATAGAAAGGAAAAAGGACCATTGAACTGCAAGCTATGCTAGAATATCCACGAACACCACCAGTTACTAAACAATCACCTTCCCCTCATATGTTATCATTATACATGTAACTTAGAACCTTCCAAGTTGGAAGGCTAGTGTAGTGCGCATCCAAGATGTGCTAGCCACTGCTAGAGCTGTTAGCCAGTTAGTTGTAGAACGTCAGTACCGTCGGTCAGTGTCGTGCAATGTTATCGCATGAGCTGATTGTTCAGTAACTAGTGGTGTTAGTGGATTATAGCGTAGCTTGTAGTTTGGTTTGGTTGGTTTGGTTTTGGTTTTTATTATTTCAGTTCGTTGCCTCAACAGTACAAAGTACAAATATCAAGAGGGACGAACGCCTTCCGTTCGATGGTCCTTTTTCTTTTCTGTAAATTCTTGTTTTGTACTTCTATGTGCCAGTGTTAAGCTCTGGTCCTGGTGACCACACAGCAATTTCCCACTGATAAGTAACTGCGGTACTACCTCTACATACAATGTAATAATGATACCAAATACATGTACACTGTACATTGTACATGTACAAATCACATCAGTATTAAAGAATTCACTTTTGATGACATTTATAATATTTTGAAGGCAGTTTTGGGAACTTTTATCTTCACTTATGACTTTGACAGCCATTCATTATCTATTTGATCCATATTGCATGTCTCTTCAGCAAAAAGAGGCAATTTACATGTACGTTGCTATGGTAACCATGGCAATTTTAGTAAATCGGCCATAACTCTTGAACGGACAACTTTGGCACATTCTGGTTTTCAGGGATCAGTTACTGGTTGTTATGCCATTCCAAATCCGTCAAAAAAAATCCTTCCTGGACAGGGTGTCACACAGCTCAGTTCTGATGACCCCCTGGCTCCTAGACTAAAAACTCCAAGGATTCGCCTCGAATATTCCGGTTTTTTCAAAGATATGTACAGTGCGCACTCGCACTTCGAACTGTGCACAGCACTTTCAAGACCTGACCAGCCTTTTTTTTGTAGCCTGCAAGATCTGTACTGACAGACGGGAGCCAACTGATCGAACTGCACTGCAGAGTCGAACTGTGCTGTACGCAGATCTGCAGAGTCTATGTACATGTACCTTCAAAGGTTTTTTGCCGGAAAAAGCTCTTTTTCACTTGTTTTTGTGCCATCCAGGGATTTTGAGAGAAATCCAGGGATTCTGCATGTCTTGTCAAGGGATTGAGATTTTGGTGGTTGGTCAGTATGGTGTACGTGTGTGTGTGTGCGTGCGCGCGCGCGCGTGCGTATGTGTATGTGTGTTTAAGGGGGGGGATACATGTATGTGTTTTTAAGTGCTTAGGCAGATTGTGAAGGCCAGAGTCTGCATGCTGCAGTGATTGCCAATCAAAGCCAAGGACCAAGGACGGATTAATTGGTTGCTCCCACTGATGTGCTGATCAGTCCTTTGTGAGTTCTGGTTGTATATCATCTAATCTGCTCGTGACAGGTAAGAGAGAGAGAGAGAGAGAGTCGGGGGGGGGGGGGGGGGAGGAAGAGAAAGAGAGAGAGCAGGGGGGGGGGGGGGGGGCAGTGAGCTCTTGTATGTATACAGTGGACCTTGCATACCGGTATTAACTTTGGGCAACAACTCATCATGATAACAACACTATGATCTTCAAACCAAGTAACCACTTGCCTGCAATGGCCCTGCATTCTTTTAACCTGGCGGACAACAACACTTTTCTCACGGCCGATCGAGTGTCGTTATTCACAAGGTCGATTGTATGTCCAAAGTTGGCAGTGCAACAGCAATGCATTCGAAGGGCACACACATGCGCACAGACTGACGGACAGACAAACTGACAGCCAGAGAGACACGCACACATTCATGCACATACATGCACAATTGCACACACGCACACACACACACACACAAACGCACACATACACACACACACACAAACGCAAACGCGCGCACACACACACACACACACAAACGCACATTCAGCCGTCAGCACCATTGCAACAAGCAACACTATGGATAGTTTCTACTTGGACCGTGACAGCCCTATTCTATTCTATTCTATTCTATTCTATTCTATTCTATTCTATTCTATTGGTTCTACTAAGTTAGTGACAGTAAAAGTTTTATATCCTGCCTTGAACGGCTTCTGAATCAAATATTTGGGGCCCTACTGTAGATAATTGGGAACTTGTGGCCTGGCATGAGTAAAACATGGACGTGGCAAATGGGATTTAGGCCTTTGGCCTCTGGTTGGTGATTCTGATCTATCCTCCCCCACCGTTTAGGAGCCGCATCTGACGCCTGATCATGGGGTGGTGGCGTCCCACGGAAGCGGAAAGGTGGTTCTTGACCAGGGAGTTGTACGACTCCTTGTTCTTGATCTGCCCGGTACGCGAACCCGTCGAATTTTTTATTTTATTTTTTACTCTAGATAATAAAAAAAGCTAGCACCCACGAATGAGCTCAAGGTGGGGAGGATATCTCTCTCGATTTCGGAGAGATGGAATTGGATGTAACATGCCGCTAGTGCCTTGATAGAGGCCTAAAACAAACGCAGCAGAGGTTGAACGTCGGAATAAAAAAATGCGTTGCACCTGTCGGGGCTAACGCTGTGGGGATTGGGAACACGGTGGGATAACAATGGTGCCGCTTCCAGGACGTGATGAAGAACGAGGAAGATAATAATAAAATACTTTGCTTTCTCTCTCCCTCTCTCTCTCTCTTTCTCTCTCTCTCTCTCTATTCGTTTGGTTAACATGTACCTTGTTTTGACTGGGGAGAAAAATATGCTGGCTCTAGAGAATAAATGTTACATAAATGTCCTTTTCAGCTCGAAAACAAGCGAGATGATAAAATCTATGATGAAGAAGCAGTAAATCTCTTTCACCAATTGAAACTAGATCTATTTTTTCGTGACAGGAACCGGAACATCTGGCACCATTTGGTTGAACGTCATAGGTGTCTTCTGCTATTCGTGTTGGTCCTAATAGCTTTCCACTGCGGTGTCCGAGAGAAGAGAGGAAAACCCGTGCACGCCAGAGTCATCTGCATCCAGCTCAGCCGGCGCGGTCTGGGTTTGGTTCTTGCGGACTGTCTCGCCGCCGTCGTCGTCGTCGGTGGCGATGACAATGCCGCTGGTCAAGCCACTGTCCTCGTCTTGCCCTTCATCAATGTACGCCTGTGTTTGTTCAGCGTTGCTTACCGTGTCTGGTGTAGTCACCACCGTCTGATAAGCTGGGTAAGCCAGTGTTTGCGGCATGCCAGGTGTCATCGGCGAATACTGGATGTACTGCGGGTAGGCTCCGACGGGCGTGCTGGTCATGGCCTGCATGTATGGCGCCGCTGCTGCTGCTTGTGTGGCGGCGGCTGTGTGACCTTGATGGTGTTGTATTGCTGTGGGGGTATTGTAGTGAGCGACACCGGCCGCTATGTTGCCAGCACTCTGGTAGACTGGTATGGCTTGATATTGCATGTGAACTGGGCCGGCGCCCGCAGCAGCTGTAGGAGGGGAGTTTTCGCCGCTAGCGGAGACCATCGACTGGTTTGCAGTGTCCGGCGGTGTTGGGTACTGCTGCACTGGTATACACAGGCCCTGATGCATCTGCAGCTGATACTGGATAGCCGCTTGTGTGGCAAATATTCTGTGTTGCTGCTGAAGCTGCTGCTGCTGCTGTTGTTGTTGCTGCTGCTGCTGTTGTTGTTGCTGCTGCTGCTGCTGCTGTTGACTCGATTGTTGAGCAGCAAACTCTGCCTGCTCAAACACTAGTTGCTGCTGCTCTGCTTGCTGCACTTGCACTTGCTGCTGCAGCAGCAGGGGCTGCGGCTGTTGAGCTTGCTGCTGATACGGCGGCTGCTTCTGCACTAGATGCTGTTGCTCTTGTCCATGTGTCTGTTCAATCTGCGATTCGTGATGCTGTTGAAGATTGAGGTTAACTGGTTGTTGTTGTTGTCGTTGTTGTAGTTGTTGTTGTTGCTGCTGCTGTGCGCTGGCTGCCTGGGCTGGTGCCGGGATATAGTAGGATACCGTTTGGGACTTTACCTGTTGGCTGGCGAGCTGGTGAGTAGCGCCCGCGTCTTGGTAAGCTGGAATCTGCACGGAGATCATGTGCGGTGTCCTGTCCTGTGCGGAGGGCCTGGCTAGCATCAGCCGCGGGGCATTGGTTGATTGATTGCCCTGCTGCAGGCTAAGCTTAGACAATGTGCTGTCGAGCTGCTCAACACTACCCGCAGCAGATCCATTGAAATCTGCCGTCGGCTGCGTTTGCTGGGCCTGGATAGCTCCTGGCTGTGCCACCTGAGTGCACGACATTGTGCCGACGAACTGCGGCTGGTAGTACGACACTGCTTGGGCTTGCAAACCTGCCGGGGCTGCTGCTGCTGCCGCTGCTGGCTGTGGTGTCGCTGGTGTCTGCACGGCGAGCTGTGGGTGAAAGTACGTTGGCTGGTAGGGCCCGTCCGGCGGACACAGCGGAGCGTACACACCCGGCGGCATTTGGTCCGGCTGCATTTGCTGCGGCTTGCGCTTGGCGATCCAGCAAGGCTGCTTGCCCGTCTGGCATTTCTCACACGATGTGGTGTCATGAGGCTGACTGCGTCGAGTATGATCCATCGGTCGCCATGTACCTACATGTGGATCAACAGTGGGCACAAGGAACACAAATGAAGGTCAGAAAGAATAGAAAACACGAATGTGCATTCACTCCCCAGCTGAGATGAGTATAGAAAGTAAATAAACTGCAGTGGCGTGCACCGAGTCTTGAAAATGTTCCAGAGTTGGTACATTTTTATCTGGAGACCCACTGTATGTATTTGTGCACATGCGCATCCCCCGAACATCCCGCCGCAGATAACGGCGAGGGCTAAGGAGGAGGGGGAACTCAAGATCAGGGATGCAGGGCACCAATGGACACTGGTGCGGATGAGATGTGGGGCTCCTCCGACTGCTATCATGCCTGCACAAACGCGTCTGAGAGGGAACCAGGTCCAGGGGTTAGAAACTTACTAGAAAGGACAGAAATAAGAGCCTAATAAGGAATTGAGGGAGGAGACAATGTTACATGGAAATGTTGGTATAACCGGTAGCAGGATAAAACGGGTTACCTTTTACATACCAGCAGTTATTTGCAAAAAGGGTGCTAAAGTCAATGTGCACATATACAATAATACATGTTTGTCGTATTGAACACGTAAAGTTTGATAGGCCTAGCCGCCCAGGCTACACTACAGTCTATAACAGGTACTTCACTAGTCCACTCCAGGCATGCTCGTTTCATCAAAACGCTGCTTCCATTCGACCTATCTTTCTTTCTGTTCTGATGACGAAGTTTTCAGCATGCATTGGCAATGTTCCTTATCATGCTTATGATTTCAATCAAGAGTTATGGACCTTGCTTCGATGGAAGCTCGCGGAAGAAAATCGAAGCCCCGCGTCCTTGAGTCGCGGCCGGAGCAGCGCTTCGTTCTGCAGCAGCGCAAGTGGATCATGGACGCACATTTTTACGCCTTCCTGTCGACAATGTTTTTGACGAACATCTCTGCTGCGCATCTGAGCGAGAACGAAAGGCTGTGGAGATCTTGATTCGAGTCAACACTTTGGAAGGAGATATCGTCAATCATATCCTTGAACTGACTTGCATCGCGCCTGCTGGACTCAAATTTCGAGACAAAACAAATTTCTTGAACGTCATCGCCAATCCAGGAGCGGGCCAGAGCTAGAGATCGATCTCTCTGAAGCTACTCTCCACTGAAGAAAGAGAGAATAATGTATTTTGAACTGCATGCCAAGCAACTCTCTCTCACTTCGAAATAAGGACATGTGAACTGCCCGTCGATCGACGCGTATGCACGATAACCAATCCAGTACGGCAGTAGGCACATTTCTCCTTTGGCAAGGTTGCCCGAAAAAAGGTGGTTTCCAGACACCAAAAAACTCACACGGTGCACGCGCCTGAACTGCTTACAGGACGTGTGCTGCTCGGTGAAATACGGCCGTGTGATTCCGTGTTACGCCGGTTGCTGTACAGAGCCGGCCAGACCTGGGAATACTGGGGTATGCGCTGATCCTTTCTATCACTCCACAAGTCTATACAGGAACTCACCAAGGAACAGGTATCCATGTTCCAACTGATGCTCGTCCAGATTTACTCAACGCCATTGAATACCTCACTTAAAGGGGAAGTTAAGGCTAAAATCAAAATTTCACCAGTTGTAATCTTCGGGGTGCCGAGTCGAATGGTCGTGGTCCCAGGAAGCTGCGACGCTCCCTTCCTACTTTAATCCCAATCGAACTCGCGCACTTCCACCGAAACTGGGTGACTGCGCCCTACTAGATGGGGATTTGTATGCAAAATGTCACTAAAAGCGCCATGTCGTTCTTATAAAAGCACGGATGACCGCGATTGGCCCATATGTTGTAGACTTTTGGACGCTGAGTCAACTGGTTTTGGTCCGAAAAGGCTGCGAAGCAGCGTTCGGCCCTTATTCCCAATCGAACATGCTTGAACAAGCGATCACGTGCTCCGGCGTACACCAGTCACCTGGTCACCGTGCCTGCAGGGTACAACTTACTAGCCTGTTTGACCTTTTTGGGTGCAGTCCTGTCACTCGAGTTGAACCTTGGTGTGAAAGTTGTCGCCTGCTGGCGTGGTGAGCAGGTGATTTGGACACCCAGGAGCACGTGACCGCTTGTTCAACCATGTTCGATTGGGAATAAAGGAGGAAAGCTGCATCGCAGCCTTTTCGGACCAAAACCAGTCGACTCAGCGTCCAAAAGACTACAACAAAATAATTATGGGCCAATCGCGGTCATCCGTGCTTTTATAAGAATGAAATGGCGCTTTTAGTGACATTTTGCATACAAATCCCCATCTAGTAGGGCGCAGTCACCCAGCTTCGGTGGAAGTGCACGAGTTCGATTGGGATTAAAGTAGGAAGGGAGCGTCTCAGCTATCTCGGACCAAGACCATTCGACTCAGCACCCCGAAGACAACTGGTAAAATTTTGATTTTAGCCTTAACTTCCCCTTTAATACTACCGTAAAGTCCGGAGCAAACGCCCACTTCGCTGCAAACGCCCACCCCAGCTCGATTATACTATTTTCGCAATGCAGGGCACAGGTACGTCGTCCTGAGGACATGAATGGTGTACAGAAAGTTCGATTTCGTACGAGTAGACATGAAAAGCCTACGAACTGCCTATGGCAAAGACTAAAGCAAAAGAACTTTCGCTATAGCTCAACATCAAATTCCCGCGGACAAAAATGCACTAACCTCGCCAAGAAGGGACCAACTGCATTCAATCCTTTCGCAGTCGTTCTTGGAAGCGATTGTTTTTTTCGCCATGCCAAGACGCCACAAGTTCGACGTGGAGTTCAAATGCAGTGCTGTAGAATGGCACCGCCTGCACGGCGAAAATACTATCTCACGTTGCAAGACGGCAAAATCTCTTCCAGATTGCATAGCTGAAAGAGCATTACAATCGTTCTCGTTTTCGGGTTGCCGAGGGAATTCTACAAACTTGTCCGTTGACATATAGGCTCTGTGCAGCTCCGACCGGCGGTAACTACGAACTTCACAGACAAAGGCAAGGCAAAGGTTATTCATGGTGACTGAAGAGGAGCAAGAAAGTTATCCATGAACGTTTACAGATCGAAAGTAACTTGCTTTGACACCGCTCGAGTGGATTGCGACACTTTCAGTTGAGCCGTAGAGTCTACGCCCAAAAGTGCAGTCTCTATCGATCTACGAGCTTCCAAACTCCAGCCTCTACTCGGCTCTAGCTTTGTGCCATAGTTTACCGTAGCAGTACCGTAGTTCCGCGCATATAAGCCCATGGGCTAATATACGAAATAATGCATTTTCCGGGAAAATAAATCAGTAATAATGGTTCGTTTTTTAGCCCTGGGCCTATATTCGAATTTTGAAGGCAGCTGGCACGCGAAAAAGTACAAGTCCGTGCGCGGTTGTCCGCCTACCATAGGTACCGGTACTGGTAATGTAGTCTGCACTGACATGCTGTACTACGGTGTTTGGGTCTGTTTATTAGCCCATGGGCCTATAAACGGAGGTGGGCTTATATCCGGATATAGGCCCATGGGCTTACATGCACGGAACTACGGTAGTCACTTTTCGCTACGGTGTGAAGTGAACTTTCAAGTCCGTCCCGTAACATACTCGTAGGGTCAGGCCAAAAGTTCAAGTCTCAGCGCGTACAGGCCAGCAGATCTTGCTAAAATGGGGTGGGTGTTTGCTCCGGACTTTATTGTAATAGCAAATAATGATAATTGTGCTCGACGTTACCTGGAACGTGACATGAAGAATATCGGGAACACTCTTCACATTCCCGTAACCTATAGGAAACTTGTTTTGCTCTATGTTCATGCAAAGAAGTCATGTGGAATGTGTACTGGGAATTTCCCGTTTCAAATCTGGTAGTTTTCTCGCTAATTTGAATGGTACTCAGCAGGTCTGTAAGCACTTTCTTTGCGTGTGCCACAACGTAGAGAACCTCATCTCCGCATAGAAATCTGGATCCAAAACATGCGAAGCCATAGACTCTAACCCAGACACCTGTTTTCTACGTGATTTATCTACGTTTCACGCAGAGCAGAACCTCACTAATATGTTTGAGCGCTTATGGACATATACCAGGACCTTAGTCATGGAATCGGCCAATCACATGGAATCTAGCAGAGCCTAGATGAGGCAATCACAGCATACTGCGCTACCAGTTTTGCTCAGTGGATTGTGAGCAATTGCATCACAATAACTAACTTTATGGTAGTTCTCATCTGGTCCCCAACTACTGCTTTAGGAGCTGTATGTGGCCCTGATACCCGATGGTTGTGGCATTCCTACGGATGGAGAAGGGTCCCGCATCGTGAGATTTTCCATCCCTCCAATTCCCGGCTAGGTATTTTCCATCCCTCCAATTCCCGGCTAGGTATTTTCCATCCCTCCAATTCCCGGCTAGGGTGCGGGTGTACAAGTATGACTTCATGCACTCAAATCACTTGGACTCCTGAGCGAACGAGAGAGAGAGAGAGAGAGAGAGAGAGAGAGAGAGAGAGAGAGAGAGAGAGAGAGAGAGAGAGAGAGAGAGAGAGAGAGAGAGAGAGAGAGAGAGAGAGAGAGAGAGAGAGAGAGAGAGACCAGGATCTGCTATGTGGCCAGGCCAGAATTGTACTAATTCCTCTACCAGTATTCATAGAACACTGCGTAAAGCACATAATTATCAGAAATGTGTCGACTCCTTCCCTTTCCTCGACATCCATTTTTACATCCCACTACCACCACCGGGTCCCAGGCGTATTATCACTTATTTGCTCCTTGAATGTGGCAGCTTCGCTCAGCCTCTTACCGGACATCAAGGCTTGAGCTCGCTTCACGGCCAGGCAGGACATGCGATAAAGCTCTTCCTTGGTGATGTACGGGTTGACATCCTGATCACAAGTTGTGCAGCGTTGCTTCCAGTTCTTGACGACTCGCTGGCCGCGCAGGTCAAACTTGATCCAGGTGATATGAGACGACCAAACACGTTTACACCTGCCATGATGGAAGGACAGTGAAGAGTAGGAGGGACAGTACTTGTCAGCCAAGGCAAGCAGAGAGCGGAACCCTGTGCCAATATCTCACACGAGTCAAGCCGAACAGTATCCAACTAATTTTTTCTGTTGAAAATTACCTTTGTTTTACCAAAACGTTGCGATCGTTTGATCACGGCTGTTTTTTTTCGCGAAATTTGGACATTTAACAAGATGGCAGCCAAAAGTCTCGATTGGGCTGGATCGGCAAGGAAATTTGAATTTTCAAATTCTCAGCAGCCGATTTCGCTGTGGTTTTCGCTCGATTTAGAAAGCTACCAGGCCAGGTTTACCCGGAAAACAGGTATTCCGTGTTCCTCTTGAAACTAGCTTTCCGCTGGTACCTCACATGGCCAACTTCGTCTCAGGAACAGTTTGTTCCGCGTTGCACAAGTCAAGCCTTCTTTCTCGCTCGTTCCTTGATTCATCGTTGACATGCCTGCGTCAAGAAGCCCTTTCAGGAGTTTTCCCAGTCTAGCTTTCAGTTTTCCCAGGTAGAGGACTATCTTCTGGCTATCTTCACCAAGTTTTATCACGTCCCGTGCACAAACTTCAGGTCCCGTGCGTTCGATGCTGAGCTACCTTTTCATGCGATTTAGGGGACAGATGGCATGGCGCTGGAGTCGCTGTTGAGTCCAGGAGGCCGAGACCTGGTGGAAACTGCCCAGTAGACATGTGGGGTATTGCTGAAAAAGGCAGCAAGCACACAGATAGCCCCGAAATTGTGATGTAGATCCAATTGTGCGTTTGTTCGAGTGCATATCGGCAAATTTGAAAGTTGCACCCGTGATCCCGGCGAGGAGAAGCTGAAAATCAGTGCGCGCGTCAATATCCAGACTACCAGGGACAACTTGGAGAGGTTCGAAAAGGTCAGGATGCTGGTTGACCACGGCAGGAGTTCCTTTTACCTTCCTTCTCTCTCAAATTGTCTGGATATTGAGTATCTCGCTCGAGCGCTTTCAAATAGTAAATCCTGGTTCGACTTGCGAAATCGTGGAACCACACGGAGAGTGACATGAGTTTCATCCCAAAACGCAAACTCCCATCGTATTCATGAGGTTTGCACCGCGTTACGTAAATCGCACCGAACGACTCCATATTGTTAGATGTCCGTGCGCGAACAGCCGTGTGATGGGGAACTGTCCGAAAATGGATTTGTGGAATGTTTCATGCAATGCTGGTATGCAAAAGAAAGAGATGAAGACACTGTATGCTACTAAATCATGTGGGAGGCAAACACAGCCCTTACCTCGGACAGTAGGACCTGGAATTGCCAAAGACGTCCTGGATGCGGTAGGTGTTCGGAATGATCTCGGCATACAGTCCATGATCGGCCAAAGCCTGACTAATCGTGTCCGACATTTCGCTTCTCTCCTCGCCTATCTCTTCGCACCGTTACGCGCGACGCAACGCAACGCGTTTTACAGGCAATGGATCCACACGGCCAGCTTATCATGACGGTAAGAGCTTAACTGGTCCGCCACACAACTCCACCAAACATTTCCCGCAACAAAGGAAAAGCCCAAGGTAATATTATAAAGGAGGAAGGGATTGAAGAAAAAAATGGTGACGATGAACTTTGACCTCGGCAGATTCGCTTGCACTCTTCTCGAGCTGTGACGTTTCGATTTGAGGTCAAAAGGTCAAGAGGCTAGCTACCCTAGCTATCCTGGGGATTCCTGGTCCGAGTGACACTGATGTAGATCTACCTCCCCTGCAAATCATTCGCAAGTCAAGTTTTTCCTGACAGCTCAGAGAGGCAGGGGCTTCCAAAGCGAATTGCTCGAACAGCTAACTACATGATTGTAGCTTCTCTGTTCTTCTACTCGAGTCGATCCGTCGTCATCCTGCTTATGTTTTTTCCTTCTCTCACTGCCACCGCGTGTCGCCATCTGGTGGTAATCCAACTCAAATCCGAGATGGAGTTATTTGAAATGCGGGTATGCATCCGAATCCATTGTCTAACCAGGGATCATACAGTCAGTGTAACTGGTCACAGACATACTGACTGTGACAGGCTCCAGTCTTGCATAGACCGCTTCACTTTTATTTTTTTGTTCTGAAGACGACCGTGCTCCCTACTTCGTTTGTGATCAGTGCTACATGTAGATCTACACTTACTACAAAAAAAGTAAACTCCTGGTTGTGCAAGAAACATGGCTCGGCTAGATCCCCGTGATCTCTGGGAGAGTTCCTTTCCCCTGACACCGTTGTACTTGTACAGAATTGGTATTTATCGGACCTCCTTACCATCCCCGGTCTGTTCTGTACTGTCACATGCAGTGGAACACGACTGAGCAAAATGTTCCGAGACAACGTGACCACTGTAGCATCTGTACTGTGATGCTTCCTCGTTTCAAAAATGGTTGCATGACTCGCCGGAAGGAGAAGCTATATCACCACATGATCAGGGTTACGTTCAGCGTTGATATCGGCAATGGCCACTTACATTGTTATTTTGTAGTGCACACAATCAATCGTCTTCATGTAGATTCTACAACAATGCACAGGCACGTCATTACAGGTAATAGTTTGTTGACGGCATGGCTGTTGCAGCACATACATGGACCTCATTCCGCCGGTAATTCCTGACTCATGCCACCATCGATGCATAAACAGCACTGAGCACATAACGTATCAAGGCTACTCTGGCCACATGATATGTGCGTAATTGTGATTCAGATTGTGTCATCGCCATTTTTGGAAAAACCTGGAAAATAGTAGTCTACCGGTGGTCACAATGGCAGGCGGGCAGAATCCACACACGCCCACGCTGGGGCTCACCGACTTCAAGTAGAAAAAGTGCTTTTCATGAAACAGATCCCATCCGTTCGTAAATCACTTGTAATAATTATTATAAATCTATAGAAAAGAAAAGGACCAAGGAACTACAAGCTACAAAAACAATCAGCTCATGCGATACTGTGACAGTATGATTGCACGACACAGACGATGGTACTGACGTTCTACAACCATAAACTGGCATGCGTTCTCATACCCATGATAATAATTATTATGACTTTATGATCACAATGGTAAAAACAAGTAAGCCTGTTCAGTTAGCAGAACGTTTCTAAAATTCGATCATCACGTGTCCAGTCTATCTTGCAACACAAGTACACAATCAAGTGGCCGGTCTCATTCACTTGCTTTGCCGATGATGTGGAGTGTGATCCTGTCCGCACTGTGCGCAGCTGCGGTGTGTGCGAACAGCATCAGGTTAGGGTTGAGAGTGGACTGGGTGGCGTTGAGCACACCAGCGGGTAGCGTACTCCACGTGTACCCGCCCGGATAGTAGAACGGGGACACGTAGACCTCGGTCGGCGCCCGGAACGTGGTCGGGGCGGAGCTCGGGGCGTAGGTCAGGGTGAAATTGCCCCGACCTTGGTCGAGGTGGTCGAATGTCATACTCATTATGGTACCGGCCACGGCACGCGCATATGTACGCGATATCGCCTTCACTTCGCCACTGGCCTCCTCATCGGGTTCTGGTGTCAGGTACCAGAACGTCCAGCTGTGAAGGGCCTCGTCCATTCGGTCGGCCACAAAGTCGATGATGTCGACTCCGAACGGCGAGTTGCTGATGGCGCCAAACTCCGTCAGAATGGCGCCCAGGCCCAGGAGCTCGGCGTCCTTGCGCCGCACGTCGAACAGCGGGCTCTGGAACAGGTCGCACACCTCCAGGTTCAGCATGCTCTTCAGCTGCTGCATGAACGAGCTGGCGTTGTTCCACTGCACGACGGGGCAGTAGACGTGGTACGCCAGCGCCTGGCGATCGTTGTACTCTGCGCCGCCCGGCCCCTCGACCAGGCCGATCGGGAAAGCGTCCAGGTAGTTGCCGCCGGTGGCCGGCTCGAAGAACACGATCGACGCGTTGTCCACCTGTCGCACGTACTTTGCCAGGTGTGCGTACAACGTGTGCATGTTAGACCGATCGGCCGCCTTGGGAAACCAGAGGTTCCAGTGCTCGTTCTTGGCCGGATCCAGTTCGTCCAGTGCCAGTGGCGCATCGCCCAGCCACGGCTCGTTGAGTAGCTCGTACCCGAGCACGGCCGGGTTGTCACGAAACATGGTGGCGATCATGCGCCAGAACTCGCCGAACCGGTCCAGGATCCCCTGGTCGTTGTCGTACATGCGCTGCGCGGCCGCCCCGGTGGAGTACGTGATGTAGGACGTGGCCCAGCCGAATACGGCGGCATCCACGCGATCGCAGTTCTTGATGTGAACTCCGTCGGGCTGGTACTCGGGCGCGGCGATGGGCTGCGGGTATGCGCGCGATCCGTTGCCATGGTACTCGCTGGTGTTGTACGGCTGCGAGTAGAACTCCGGTATGCCGTGCCCGCCGCAGAACAACGGCGACCAGCTGTCCTGATGCATGTCCAGTATGACGCGGATGCCGTGCGCGCCGAACCGCTCCACCGTGTCCTTGAGCAGGCCCAGGTAGGTCTGGTTATAGGTGCCCGGGCTGGTCTCCACCAGGTGCCAGTGGAACCCGAGACGCACGATGTTCAGGCCCCACTGCAGTGCGCACAGGATAGAGAGAGAGAAACACAAGCATATACACATAGATGCACGTGCACACAGACAGACGGACAGACAGACATCTTTAAACTGTTGGACCTTTAGCAGGCACGCACACGCACGCACTCTCCCCCCCCCCCCCACACACACACGCACACACAAACACAGAGAGAATGGGAGGCCTTGACTTTACAGTCCTGCATGGCTTTTCTCAGTCAGTCCACATGTCTGCACTCGTAGTGATGTATTGCAAACACCTGGCTAAAACTGATGTCGTGTTTCATCCTACAAGTAGTTAGAATCGGACGTGAATTGACAGCACTGGCTGGCATTCCATCAAACCCCTGTTCCAATAGCATGCACATCTAAAGCGCTGTACGCCACACAGGATCAGTTGCTCTGCATGGCTACCAAGATAGAGAAGTGTTCAAAGAAAGCTCAACAAGCAGCTGAACACCGACTTCACCAACAGGGTACTCAGGTGACCCGATGATGGCTTTGAGTGTGAAACTCTTGAGTATACCACAACTCTGCGTGTGTGCGAAAAAAATAAAAAAATAAATTAAAAAAGGGGATTCACTGGCCGGAAAAAAGCCACTTCAATCATCTATTCTGCTGGGTGCTGTAGACCATGCTAAAGGTAGTGGTGGTGAATTCATCAGCCTTACAAGCTGTTGAAGAGTGTGATCCCAGCAAAAGTGGCTATGTTTAACAAAGCTTGTTTGGTATCATCGTTTCAGCGATGGGCAGGTGTAAGTAACCATGGTAACAGAAGTGTGTGCGCGTGTGTATGTATGTGAGTGTGTGTGCGTGTGTATTTGTGTGTGCGTGTGTATTTGTGTGTGTGTGTGTATTTGTGTGTGTGTGTGTATTTGTGTGTGTGTATGTGTGTGTCTGTGTGTGTGTGTGTGTGTGTGTGTGTGTTTGTGTGTGTGTGTGTGTGTGTGTGTGTTTGTGTGTCTTTGTGTGTGTGTGTGTGCGAACATTTAACCGGGTGGGTGACTTGAAGTGCCACTGCCCGTATTGCTCAGCTCGCATGCTATCATCGCACTAGCGATGGGCGTCCACGGTCTAAGGAGTGTGTGTGTGCATGTGTGCGCTTGTGTGTGTGTGTGGGTGAGTGGGTGTGTATGCGTGTGCAATTACTTACGTCCGCCATTAGTTTCATCTGATCATTGGAAACCTGTACCATCATGCCGTTGTTGTTCTGTGCCAGGCCGTGGAAGATGACAGAGCGGCCATCTTCCGTGTTGACGAACTGACGTGTCGCAGGGTTCAGCTGGATACGCGGCAGACTGGCCGGGGCAGGAGAAGCGGGCGCTACATCATCAACGTGTATCTGGACATCAACAGAAAGGTTAAACACAGCATTCCACAACACAAACATTGTGCAATTGTACAATAAATGGTTGAAAAATCAAGTTGCGTGTCCAGTCCCAAACGAACAAATGACGCCGGCCACCCAAATTAATTGTCACAGTTCGCATCAGACGCGGCTAGGGGCTCGAGTTTTCCGCATCCATAGGAACGCCACCACCCTTCAAGGATCAAGGCGCAGAGGCAGCTCCTAAAGCGTTGGGAGGTGAGCAGCTGCCACCCGGTGGTCGCTTAAACCAGGTTCTACTGCATTGTCATGCAGACAAGCACAGGTTTGTCTAACTTTGTCACTCCCAACACTCCTTAGCACGACATCTACGTGAAATATCTATCCAACATCAGGACATACAGTCAACTTCGCCAATAACGACTGCGGATATAACGACAATTCGCGAATAACGACAGAATGTCCATGCCCAGAGCAAAGTCCATTCTACCTGTATACATATAATGAGACTTCGGGTATAAGGACACTTCGCGAATAAGGACACTTTTCTGATGCCCCGCCGAGTGTCGTTATACGCAAAGCTGACTGTTACTGTGTAATATTTGGTCGAACAGACTTCCAGTAGCCTACCTACTATGGTCCAGCGGATAATGCCGGCATTATATTCGGCATTATATTCGGCATTATATTCGGCATTATCGCCTTCTTAGTATTTGACCCCACTAATTTCCCTGATACCTAAGCGGTCAAATATATCGCGTATTTGACTGCTTAGTCAAATACGAGATATATTTGACTCCTTAGAACTTCTTGGACTTAGAAATTTTCTCTCCAACTTAGAAAAAGAAATTTTTGAAGAAAGCAGAAATACACAAGATGGGATTTGAACCCACAACCTTGTGAATCTCAGTCACTCTTCCTTACCACCCAACCACTGTGCTACCGATGCTGAACTTAGTTTAAACAATGATCTTGACTTTCAATGCAGTACAATGCGGTATAGGCTATAGTATAATACTAGAATTACAAGGATATGTCGTATATGAAGAGAAACTATTGCGTGGAGAACACGATAAATAGATTATAGACCTCATAGTTGGTCTATACAGGATATATAGACCTCGTAAAAGACCTCGGGGGACCTCGGTCTTTTACTCGGTCTATATATCCTGTATAGACCTCCTAACCGGTCTATAATCTATACTTATATTCGGCATTATATTCGGCATTATATTCGGCATTGTATGACTATCCGAGCATCAGAGCATTATGGAGCATTAGAAAGGAACAAATCGAGCATTATGTGAGGTTCGAGCGGCATAACGAGTTTCATAGGGGATAATATCGGGAAATCCCAGGTTTTTGGCAACAATCGGCTACAATCATGATCGTGTGATTCATGAGATGTTGTCTGATGATTGGTTTTTGCCATGAAACTCTGAGTAACAACGAAATAGCCCTATTTTACTCCTTTTGTGTACCTCTTGCGTACTGCGCTCAGCCCATTCCGTGCATTTGAGCACTATGCATTGAACCGGCGTATGACTTTGTGATTGTGTACAGACACGTAATACTTTTAGCACTAATGCTACATAACTATTGCTACATAAGAACGTTATGATTGTACTTGTAGCGATGTGGTCGGGTAAATGTATACAAGCCATTTGTGAAGCATGCCCAACCGAGGCCGAGGCAGTTCAAGTGACACAAATCCGGAGCAATTATTTACGAGGTTTCTTTTACTTTTAGAATAATGGAGAGCTATGGAGGAGACATACGCGAAGTGAATATCAAACAGACGAAGAAGAGTTTTCTAGTTGTGCCAGAGGCTCTGGCGATAGCATCTCTAGTGATACTGAAGTAGACACTGATGCATTGCTAAATTTGGACCAGGATGAAGGAGCGGCTATAAACAGAAAGAGCTCGTTCCAAAAGAACTGCCTTTGCCGAGTCCAGCTCAGGAGGCTCGAAAAGAACTACTTCGAAGTAGAATTTCTCATGGACTCAGTACCAAGTCGATTGCTCAGCAGCGCCTGTCTTACTTTCCTGATGAAACGAGTACAGTTAGTTGTGGACGGTTGTAATGCCAGGCCTACAGTCAAATGCTATCAGAAAGGAAGAGTATTGTGGCAAGCCATACGTCTACACACCATCTCAAGGAGAAGATGAGAGCACAAGCAAAGGATGTAGAGTGGCAAAATAACTTCTGACCACGTGTTTTCAGGATTTCCGCAAATGGGAGGGCTCTCTGGCATCTGAGATCGGATCTCAGGAGCTGGCCTCACGTCTCGTGTTTCAGATGAAGACATTATTCACAGAGTGGATGCAGTGACAGCTTGTCTGCAGGCAGGAATACTATTTGCCAAGATTAACTTCATCCCAACAATGAATGACTACCTGCAATAATGGTTTCATCTCTCACTACATGGATAATTAGGGGAGGGATTTGATACACCGACTATTCTGCCGCTACCCTGCATCAAAGTTGGAATGGAGAGCAATCAATGGAGAAGCGATCATGTCTTATAGTACTAAGAAGTAGTGGAGCTCGTGAGAGATAAGGTGGCAACTTCAGATGTAGATCGACGATATGCATAATTTCCTGGAAGTTTGACAATGTGCAGACTTTCTTCCATTTTTGTCCCAAACCAAGAGCATTACATCCCTTGCTGAAGCATTATAATCAGCAGAAACAGCCCTATATACTTCCTTTTGTGTACCTCTTGCGTAATCAGCATTATAAGGCGGTTTTTGGAGCCTTATGGTTAGCATTATACGAACATTTTCGGAGCATTATCCGCTGGACCCTACTACCTTCCCGTACCCTGTGATTGATACCATGCTTTTTTTTTACAGAGTGTCATCTTTCCAACACATTCAATACTATAATAATGGCATCCCTGAAATATACAAGTGCGAGTTGTTACAATGAAAGTGAGAACAAAATCAGCAGCATTCGCTAGTGCACGCATCTTGGTTGTTCTCACTTTCATTGTTTCATTCAATACTGTCACATTTCAATCGCAAATTCTCGCCTGCTATTCTCGCACTTACCTCTGGTGTATTTGTATCGTCTGCATTTGCCAGACATGACATTGCCATCAAACAGCACGCTGCTAGGAGTAGTGCGGCTACCGACACCGTGCCTAACCTGCCGATCATCAAGGGCGTCGTCGTCATCTTTGCTTGCTCAGACCGCACGGACCCGTGCGCAATCAGGAACGCTCTCGAAATCGCTGTATGCGACACGATTCAACCTGTCCGCCTGTGATCGCAACCACAGATTTGACTAACCAGCATGAAAGACGTACTGACTGTACTTCTTCAATTTTGTCTTTGTGGCTCTGTGTATTAAATCCAAAAAATTGTCGACTGTCGATCCTCGGACTGCATGCAGTCGACTCGGAGTCGACGTCGGATCGTATCTCCTGCTGTTCAAACGCGAAGTCCGCATGTCAGCCGCAAAACAGGCGGTAGCGACGCCTAGCGCCTGCCCTCGTGATCAGACTTGCCGAGCCGCACGCGAGGGGAACGCGTGTGGCTTGGAAGTAAGCTTCTCACTGCACTCTCAGTCTGCAAACGACCGCACGGTCCTTTATTTTTTCAATGTACCTCCGCCCCGTGCTATTAATGGAGACGTTCCTTTATATATTGGAGACTGTTCCATTATTATTTCAGCCCCATTTTCAGAGGCATGTTGCCATGCCAAATTCATGTATGACACACACATTTCAGGGATTTTTTCGCCGGTACAGATAATGAATTTACACAGTGTGCTTATTAGGCCTTGACAGATTATGCTAATATTTTCGTGAAATTATGCTTTTCGCATTGCTGAAAAAATTGCAGAATTATGCTATTATTATGCGAAAAGTTATCATATTATGCGGCATTATGCTCACATATGCTGCTGATGTATATGATGGTTCTGTGCAAAATAACAGGTGAATTTTTTTGTAGAGGGCGTTGTACTGTAGTAGCAAAAGTTCAACGGGGTCAACTCACTGTCCGACCTAGCTATGACCGTCACCCTGGTCACTGATTGTAGTGGACTGGACATGTTATCAAGGGAGTCGTAAACCTACGCCTTCCTGGTGTGTCTACTTGTACTTGTACTTGTAGAACATGTACAACTGTATGGAATTTGATGCGAACAGGCGGATTAGTCCAATTTTATGCGATTCGTATGCAATTTGCCTCGAAAAATGCGATTATTCGATTTTGGTAGGAATTATGCGAAAAATTATGCTAGCATAATCTGTCAAGGCCTAGTGCTTATAATGGAGACTGAGCACTTTATTTTTTGAATGCCGCCCCAAGGTGTTCTATTATTGGAGACGTGCTATTATTGGAGACTGTGCTTATATTAGAGATAATACGGTACATGGCCAATAATCAGTCATGTACTTGGGAGGTCTCTCACCGCAAAGCCAAGGGAGGTAGCGAAGACCCTCCAATCTGCTCCATGGCGTAGTCAGTCTCAGAACATCACCATGATCACAGTCACTGACAGAGTCAGTGTCAGTGCTGCTGCATGGAGCTCTGTGAAATCCAGGGAGTGGTATATACGACTCCCTGGTGAAATCCTATCGTGCTAAACCTACTGGGGAGGAGTACTGTAGAGGGTATCGCGGACCATAGTCCCGGCCCGGGCGCTACTTCAGTCACGATGAGGTCGAATTTACACAGTATTTTCTCTGACCAGGGCTAGCTCTGTGTGTAACCATGGTAACTATGTCGGTAGGCATACATGTATTGCCATATTGGTGCTTCCACTTCCAGTTTTGTTAGCAGTTGTTAGGAAACAATGACCCTTGCTACATGTAGACACAGAGTCAGTGTCAGAGGTACAAAAGACAGACCCAGTACACCAGTAATAATTTTTCAAATGCACACATCCAGCTGTAGTTTCTGTTCATCTCATGTTGTGCACATGAGAAATTTGTAACCTGTGCTGAGCTTTCAAGCCTCCCATTGTTGAAGAAAATAATTTGCTTGTGGGCCACCTGTAGACCGAGCCTAGCTATCAGGAAGAATGAAATGTATTGATATGGTACCCGTAGTGTTTCCAGAGAGAGTTGCAGCTGAATGAGTCGCAAGCCACGACGGACCACGCTAGCTTGTCACGAAGGAACCGCGGACTTCAAACTTCAGGTATGAACTTCTGAAATTTGTTTTCGAAACTACCATTCCGGGTTTTCCCAGGCCTGCGGGCTCTGCGTGTGTTGGAGCTGCTCGCGGCCGATGGGCTTCGATATCTGCTTTGCTTGTGAGTCCGATTTCCCACTGCCATCATGGCTCGGTTGTAGCGAGTTGTTCACGACAGTCGTGCCTGCTTGCCGTGGACCAGAGCAGGACTGAGTCTGTGCGACTGCATGACTGCCTACGCGCTGGCGGATGATGCTCGAAAAAATGGGCAGTTTCTGTTCAGTGTTCGAAAAGCATTGAAATAATTCGCGGAACCTTAATAATATAATAATACAATGCTTATGGCGGACAATTCCTCAAATTCTGCTCCTTCTCTGTATCCCCATACCAAACATGCTTGACGTCATACCAGAAAAATTATCAAGTAACCTGGTTCTGCCGATCTTCTGCCTGCACCATCCGCCAAGGGCTACTGCTGCCTATTGTAAAATTAATCATGAATTTCGCAGTGTTTATGGCACGAGCTGCACTGCCAAAGGAAGTCAGGCTTTAATACGTGCGTGCATGCAAATGTGCTGTCCATTCAGAAAAGTTGGTTACAGTCAACCTCGTGGTAAGGACCCGGGTATGACAACAACAGCAAAACCTGTGGCTAACGACCACCCCTCGGGGCCAGAGAAAGCGGTCTTTAGTGGCAGGTGGTCCTTAGTTGGAGGTTTGCACTGCACAGCCATGATATATTAATGTGATACAGTCCGTGCCTGGCAAAGTGGTCTGTAGTACCAGACTGGTCGCTAGTCACGGTGGTCTTTAGTTACAGGTTTTACTGTAGTACCAGACTGGTCGCTAGTCACGGTGGTCTTTAGTTACAGGTTTTACTGTAGTACCAGGCTGGTCGCTAGTCACGGTGGTCTTTAGTTACAGGTTTTACTGTAGTATCAGGCTGGTTGCTAGTCACGGTGGTCTTTAGTTACAGGTTTTACTGAACTTGCAAATAACCGACACAATCTTCATGCCTAGTGAACACTTTGACTGCATGCTTTCAACATCACGAATAGCGTCAATTCGCACGGACAACGACACTTTTCTCACGCATGACGAGGGTCATTATTCGCAATGTTGACCGTTTGTTGCTTCTGACCATGTAGAGTACGTGGGTAGAGTAGGGTGGGTTCTCTCAGTTGGAGACCCAGATGTTGATCCAATAATTAGTAGTATTTAGTGGTGAAACGAATATCAAAACCCAGTAGCCGAATATTCTTCGGCTTAACGAACGAACGAACGGATATTCTTTCGTTAACACGGATGACATCACATGCCCTCCTCTCAGTCATTTTATTGGATATTGTCACTATTATTAGGCATGACGAACGAAGGCATAATTATATTTGTCCATCATTTCTAGGTCATTTTTCACAAAAATCCCCAGCTGAAGTGCCTTTCACAGGCTAAAAAAAACAGCTTGAGCTTGAGACGTGATTTTCGTTCGAGCGCCATACCTCCCCTCCAGGCCCTCGGATTGCGTTCGGATGGCTTCTAAACAACAGCTGAGAGTTTGCTTATGCCGATAGATCTTTCAATGAAGCGATTCGGTCAAGTATTCACGAAGTTACGAAAGTTTGCAGTCGCCCGGTTGATTCTGCATACCAGGTTAACGAATATTCGCCATGAGGAATATTCGTTCGAATGTGTCAAACCGAACGAATATTCGAACATTCGGTATATTCGTTTCACCACTAGCAGTATTCAAAGATTATGTTACTATGTTAGTCATAACTAGTAGCATATAGGTCCTTTTCTCTTTGCATTGTAAGAGACCCTTCAGATTTTCAAATGGGTGTGTGACAGGCACAAGACTGAAATTTCTCTTTCGCCGCTATCTGGGTTCGAGGGTTCGTAACAGCTCCATAGCAGTGTTTTGTAGACTGGTTCACGCCTCAACACTCCTTTATCGGAGGACACCGCTCAGTGCCCCTAGTGCCAGAGTGTTTTGCACGAGAATAGAACAACCTGAGGAATAAATTAACGGCAACTGAAAACTAAAGTTTCGTGCCATCAGTAAGCATCAGGCAATACCGGGCAGTATCAGGCCGGGTCGAACCGCCTCTCCGAAGCTGGTTCCCTCGAGTCTTCTTGTTTGCCTTGGAACCATTCGTACTAGAGATCTACTGCAAAACCGGAAACTTTCGGTGGAGATTTATTTTCGGTAAATTTGGTACAGGTAATTTATACTCATGTTCGACTAAATAATTATAAGAAATTCAACCAAGCCATGGCACACAGTGTGAACAATGAATTTTAGATCTAAATACTACACCACGGAAAATTCCGAGTTTTACAGTACCTTTGCTAGTAGACAACCCGAGGGGTTTCAAATTCGCGTATAAATCTCATAGCGGGCTTTGTCTATTATCCAGACTTGCATGTACATGTACATGCATGCAAAACCTGTCAAGGCGACCACTCGGATAGGGCGACCACTTGTCCTAGAAGACCACTGAAACCAAGGGATCAAGGGATACCATTTCCAGTCAAATGATCCTGGATAAGGAGACCACCTGGTTACAGAGACCATGTCTAGAAGGTCCCTTGAGCGGTCGTCTTAGACAGGTTTCACTGTACGTCTCTGTTAAGTGCGTTTCAGGCGTCAGGGGATTTTAGATCGTTGTCTACTAATGAGTTTTGTCTTGTAACCGATGTCATTCAAAAGAGCTAAGACCAGTACCGAGTCTGCAGCATACTGTATAACAGGAAATTTTCGGATGGAAATATTTTCGGACAAAGCCGAATTTCGACCTTTCGTACGGATTATATTTTCGTACAGTAAAAAAGAAAGAAAAAAAGTAAATTATCGTGTCCGTTCCCGAAGGGAACTCACGACGGCCGCTAACACCCGATAGAGGGTTTCGTACAGTGCTGCATGCTAAATACACGTGTTCGCATGCAGTATGCATGTATAGTGTACATAATTTCACATGAACAAATTTTAGTACGGAATTAATTTTAGTACAAAAGAGGCCGTGTACGAAATCGTACGAAAATAAATTCCATCCGAAAATTTCCTGATATACAGTACAGGTAGACTCCCTTTAATTCGAACCTCAAATTGCCAGGCCCTAACTTCGAATTATCCAGAACTTCTAATTATCCAAATGCAGCCCCATGCACTGATATGTATGTCAAAATGCTTGAAATCGCATGCTGAATATTTTTTGCACATTTATATTTGCATCAACGGAACATAGGTACGGGTCATGTACAACGGTCCACGGATCATCAAAACACTGGATCAACACAAAATCATTTTGACATTATCTTCATCTTCTAGTGAAGAAGTTGTCAGTCACTGCAGCTTTCCTGAAACAATTTCAACAGAAAAGAACTGCGCTGCCTAATCCGCGTCATGAAAGGCCGTTGGACAGCAGCACGTCGTTCTGAAGAACGGAAGTGGAGCAAAGGCATAGACAATATTTACGACAATAGTGTTGTTGTGCGCCAACATCTCCGCGCACGAGCTGACGCGGTAAGAAAGGCCATCGAGATCCGCGAAGAGAGTCAGCCACCTGGAAGAAGTCGTCTTCAATCAAACCTTTGCAATTTGCCTCGCACGGGCTTGAATCAAATTTCGAGAGAAGGTGGGTTTCTTGAACGCTATAGTCGATCCTGCAGCGGACCATCGATCGATTTTTGAGCTACTCTTGGCTAGAGAAGGAGAAAAGAATGAACTTCGAATTACAAGGATAGCAACTCAATCTTACTTCGAAATAAGCGTTCAAAGGACATAGCCAATGTACTGTAAACAGCTCTTCTGTACGAAGACTGGGTTCGAATTATCCAACCGGCGCACTTTTCGTACTTCGAATTATGCATTCGATTTCGACTTGAAGTGACTTGCAGAAGATCGGTACGACGAAAAAGTTCGAATTACACAGAATGTTCGAATTATACCGTATTCGAATTAGAGGGAGTCTACCTGTAGTTTTCAAAAGGACAAAAGCCCAAAGCATCTCCAAAGTACACCTTGCACTGCTGAAGTACACCCAGAATCCAATGGACAACCATCCTCTTAGTTCCATGTACTGGGTAGCGTGGCCGAGTGGTCTAAGGCGCTGGATTTAGGCTCCAGTCTCTCCGGAGGCGTGGGTTCGAATCCCACCGCTGCCATGATTCATTATTTTCTCCGCCATGTTAGAATTTGTTGATAGAATTCAGCTTGGAGTATGCAGAATTGATATGTGAGGTAGCGTGGCCGAGTGGTCTAAGGCGCTGGATTAAGGCTCCAGTCTCTCCGGAGGCGTGGGTTCGAATCCCACCGCTGCCAACCATCTATTTTTTCTCGCATTTTCTGTGGCAAAGCTGAATTTCCTTCATTTTTGTACAGTTGTATGAAGAAAGTCGTCGAAATACTTTTGACAACATCTGTTTGACGACTCCTTGGTCACGCTGGGGCTCGCGCTTTTCTGCCAACTTGACTTCACACTTGACTGACTTATGATTGCCATCCAGGGCACACGTGAAGTCCATCGGACCTTCTACTCTGCAATCCTGCAGGAAAGCACCACTCCTCGCCTGATCAATACGCAGTGTTTCGGGGAATTCACCCCTAATCAGTGTAGCTTGCGAGTCAAAGGTACGATGGACTTTTGTGTCCTCTGGATGGAAGTCATGAGTCAATCAAGTGTCAAATCAGATCTGCGGAAAAGCGAGGGCTCCAGTGCGGTGAACAACAAGCTTTCCTATAAAATCTATCGCCGAAGTTGCTAGCACCATTCCGGACTCCCTGGTCATACGTGCAGTCTTATTTTGGACATACACCCCTAGTGTAATGTGTATGATGTTCACCCGACACACACAAAGGATCCATGGTGTTGTCCTGGGTGAAACAAGCCTGTCTCAAAGTGATTCTGGCATAGTATTCCACAGCGCTGGCAAAATACCTTGTTTTGCTTGTGTTTTCTCCCTCCATTACAGATCACTATATCCCTCGCTGTTTACCCATACAATATCTCGGCGTTCGGGAGGAAATCTTCGTCAAGATGACACAAGACCGTAAGCGGAGCTCTGCTGGCAGCTGCTAAATTTCTTTAGAGCAGGTTTGGCTCCGCTTTCGGCGCTGCACCTGCGCCTTGATCCCGTTGTCACTTAATGTATATTGTTTTGGACATTGAAATCCGTTGAGAAGCCCGCAAGTGGCAACGGGGCACTGGCCTCCAGCCGTGAGAACTGCTGCTCCAGTTTACAGTGTGTGTACATGAAGTACAGTGTACGTACGCGTTAAGAGGATAAGGGCCATTGTAGTCCCCTATGTTCTCTTGATGTTGTTGTTGTTTTTGTCTTCCATTCTATATGTAGGCATGTGCACTTTCATAAAAAATAAAAGTAAAAAAGGGGCGCCCACCCCGGTTATTCCACCAGACTTCAATGTGTGTAGTTAACTGGTCTCCAATTCATTTCGCCAGGAACTTAACACATTCATTCAGCATGGGCACCCTGTAAGAAGACCTTAGGGTCTGTTGGGAATGCCCAAGTAAAATAATAAAACACAAACAAACTGGTGTTCAGCGTAACTGGCTTCAAGAGGCGTGAGTTGTCGGATTTTACTATGACAGAGGGCATCAAAGTTAATGTACCAGGTAGCGTGGCCGAGTGGTCTAAGGCGCTGGATTTAGGCTCCAGTCTCTCCGGAGGCGTGGGTTCGAATCCCACCGCTGCCAGGATTTCTTTTTTTTCTCCGCCATATCAGCTTTCGATGATAGAATTCACCCTGGAATATTTAAGATTAGTGTGTGAGGTAGCGTGGCCGAGTGGTCTAAGGCGCTGGATTAAGGCTCCAGTCTCTCCGGAGGCGTGGGTTCGAATCCCACCGCTGCCAACCAAGTACTTTTTTACATTTTTTGGCCAGAATCATTATTATTGCTAGTGATGTATGGATGCTCGGTCCATCAGTACTCCAAGCATGTTTCATCACGTTCGCCTAAGACGCGAAAGGTCCCCGGTTCGATCACGGGTGGAAACAGATAATATTTTTGTCGGCGAGTGATCAGTCCTGGGAATAATACTGTAGTTGCTTGGTTGCGACATGATTATAAGGGGTCGTTGCAAAGGTGTTTTGTCGTCCCTGAAATGAACATGATTCCTTGGGGGGGGGGGGGGGGGGGGGGAGGGGTGCGAGCCAAAATCGCAAGTCGACCAACACTGTACATATGACATGATTGTACATGCATGGGATTTTCGTCGTCCAGCATAGCAAGCTGTGTTCGTGTCAGAGGGAGGGGAGGGGGTCCGAGTACGAAATGAACGATGTTCGTTTCAGGGACGACAAAAAACCTTTGTGTCGACCCCTAAACGAGAGTGTCAGTGAGGTCCAGGAGAATCATCCCACGGCAAAGTTTTTTTGTAGAGTAAATCACTCTACATCTTGCACCGGTTTTACTGCAGCAGCAAGGTAATTTCTGTTGCGCATTGCCAGGCGCGTGCGCCGGTGCCCTTCAAGAGGGGGGGGGGGGGTTCCGGGAGCCTCCCCGGGAAAAATTCCAAAAACGAAGCAAAATCCTGCATTTTGAGCGAAAGAAAAGGGGGGGGTTCCAGGCACCCAGGAACTCATACGGGGCATGCGCCTGATTGCTGATTGTCATACAGAACGGGGAACACCGGGGCAAACTTCCAGTTATCACAGGACCTGGCGATGGAAGCAGTTTTTGATTTTGTCCTGCCATACTATGTGCCTTTCATACTTTATGTGTGATATGTACGCCTTATCAGAATGGCCGCCTTCACAGGTTTTACCGTACTTTCAGCCGTTTGAAAGTGCTGAAATTCCTGGTGCTGAACGCTTTCAACCATTTACAGCCGATTACAAAGGCTGCAAGTACTACACTCCTTCATGCCGTTTCATTCATGGTTATGTTTTTGTACTCTACCACTCTTCGAGTTGCGGTTCAAGGTGTACACGTGCTAAAACTAATCTTCATAGCGAATCTCAGGATACTTTTCCTTCTGGTGTGACCTCTTACTGTATTCAGGACAAGCCGCTTGCATCACGGGCCAAACACAGCTCTCTGGGAGTGACCGGCGTGCTTTTCTACCATACCGGTACGTCAGGCATCGTCAGGCTAACTGATTGTGAGTCAGTAAGTTATTATTATGATTTATTCATACTTCTCTAGGGCAGTCCCCACAGACCTATGGTCTCCTTACAGGGTACCCTAGCCAATCTAGGATTGTGATCCGAAATTGACTTGGTGAAGCAGCAAGGCAGACCGATGCCGTAACTGAGTTCCAGCGGTCAGAGGCTAAAAAAGAAAGAGAGGAATGACGAAATCGAGAGGAGGCTCAAGTCTGATCCTGACTACAATGCAGCTCAATGATATGCGATCGTGTGAGTCCAGACCGTGCCGGGCGCTGTGGAGTCCTACAACAAGACATGCAAACACTGGTTTGTATTCTCACTCGCACCGGGTGCAGAGCTGACTCACTTGACTTCGGTGTCCATTGAGCACCACTGCATTATGATATGCTGCCTGCTACAGTCCGGTGTACAATTCAGCACACAAAACTAAGTACCGTATTCTCCGGAGTATGCGCCACACTGGAGTTCAAGCCGCACCCAGACCTTTTGGCACGGAGTATGGACATCCACCCTGTTTATCATCATTATTTTTACTACGGAAAACACGGTTTTGTCGTCACACTATTCATATACTTACCGTTTCCTGAAAACAAAACAGAACCTCCCTGTTGCTCTTCAGCTCTCGGCTGTCACTATTGACTGTTTGTCCACAACGACAATATTGTGGCTGAAAGATTTTAGCTTGGAGTATGTGGGGGAGGTGTGTGAGGTAGCGTGGCCGAGTGGTCTAAGGCGCTGGATTAAGGCTCCAGTCTCTCCGGAGGCGTGGGTTCGAATCCCACCGCTGCCAACCAAATCCATTTTTTCCTTTTTTATTGCCAGAATCGTATTGCTAGTGATGTATGAATGCTCGATCCACAAGTACTCCAAGCATGTTTCCATAGTGTAGCGGTTATCACGTTCGCCTAACACGCGAAAGGTCCCCGGTTCGATCCCGGGTGGAAACAGACTTTCTTTTTTGTTTCCTTTTACCCCTACAATTATGGAATGGCTCAGACCACGCACGTGCGCGCACAAATAAAGCACCAAAATTGATGTTTGTTGTGGTCCTCCGAGTCAGGTTGTCGCTTTATCAGAGTGTAGTAGTAGTAGTAGTAGTAGTATTTATTATTTTACTAGGGTCTAGAGTGGCATCCTTGAGAGATTTACTGTACTCTCAGCCGTTTGAAAGGGCTGAAATTCCTGGTGCTAAACGCATTCAAGCATTTTCAGCCGATTACGAAGGCTGCAGTTACTACACTTTTACATGCCGTTTCATTCATGGTATGTTTTTGCACTCTACCACTCTTCGAGTTGCGGTTCAAGGTGTACACGTGCTAAAATTCATCTTCCTAGCAAATCTCTTGATATGATTCCTGTTGGTGTGACCTCTTACTGTATTCAGGACAAGCCGCTTGCAGCACGGGCCAAACACAGCTCGCTGGGAGTGACCGGCGTGCCTTTCTGCCATATGTCAGCCATCGCCAGGCTAACTGATTGTGAGTCAGTAAGTTATTATTATGATTTATTCATACTTCTCTAGGGCAGTCCCCACAGACCTATGGTCTCCTTACGGGGTACCCTAGCCAATCTAGGATTGCGATACGAAAAAGACTTGGCGAAGCAGCAAGGCAGACCGATGACGTAACTGAGTTCCAGCGGTCAGAGGCTAAAAAAGAAAGAGAGGAATAACGAAATCGAGGGGAGGCTCAAGTCTGATCCTGACTACAATGCAGCTCAATGATATCCGATCGTGTGAGTCCAGACCGTGCCCGGCGCTGTGGAGTCTTACAACAAGACATGCAACCACTGGTATTCTCACTTGTACAGGGTGCAGGGCTGACTCACTTGACATCCGTGTTCATTGACCACTGCTGCATTATGCAGCACAGAAAACGAAGTACCATAACTGTTATTTTACGGAGTATAAGCCTCACTGGAGTTCAAGCCGCACCCAGATCTTTTGGCACGAAATACCCTACCCATCTACCCTGTTTATGACCATGCTTTTTAACACTTTGTGACCCCACTGAAAGCACGAAAATTTACTCACCTCCAAATAACATGCGCTTTCGCTTGTATCTCTGCCAAACATTCACCGATTTTTACAAACCTGCCACCGCTGGAAAGGTATTTTCAAGACGAAGCGACTAATACCACACTCAAGCCAGCTACCTGCACGGCCTCTGCTCTGCATGGCCTAGAATGCCGCTCAAAACAGCAGCCGTGCGTGAACAGCTCCAGCAAAGTTCAAACAGCCGCCATTTCATTCTCCTTTATCACATCGACTTCAAATAAACTACAGCGGAAAGCTCGTTTCAAGCGCAAAATTTTGGTGTGCAGCATGCTTGAGTATGACGTAGCACTCCGGGGAAAACCCCTGCAAAGCGCAGTGTGAAAATTTTCAGTTTTCTGCCGACCTCGAGTCTCACCACGGCGGCTTCGTACCTCGTAGAGACTTCGGATAATTTCGACGGGATACCCAAGGTTCCTCTCGAGACGTAGACGCTTTGTTTATGAAAATCGGGGAAGGAACACCAGAGATATAATATTTTTAGTGCCACTGTATACCAATCGATCGATATCGATCGATGGGGTCACAAAGGGTTAACATTAATGTGCGGTCCGCACTGACATTTTTTGGGTTTAACGTGTGGCTTATACCCCGGAAAACACGGTTCTGCCGTCACATTAGACACCCTTAGCAAGCAACGGTAACGCTATTTTCTACGGTACTCGTACCTTGATCACCCAAATAGCGTTGAAGCTGCAGCGTATAAACGTTATGGGGGCTGATTTATCGTTGTGACCAACGGTACATGTTTTAGCCAAATACTAGGGAGGTTCTGCTCTACGTTTTGGGAACGCGACGCAAAGAATCACGCGAACTTTCTTCGCGTTCCCGTAACGTAAAGAAATGCTGTTCTGCTCTACGTTTCACCCAGAGAAGTCAAGTAGAATGTGTACTGGGAATTTCCCCTTCCATATTTGGCAGTTTTCTGCATGCAGTTGATCGATACCCAGCAAATCCGTACGCATTTTCTCTGCGTGTGCCACAACGTAGAGAACCCCATCTCCGCGTAGAAATCTGGAGCCAAAACATGCGAAGCCGTAGACTCTAACCCAGACACCTGCTCTCTACGTGATTTCTCTACGTTTCACGTATAGCAGAACCTCTCATAGTCCGTACGCATTTCACCTTGTATCGCGTATATGGTGACAAAAATGGTTGTACCGCGCGAAATCAAAGCTAATCTCGTGGCAACAGCGTACTAAAAATAGCGTGCATCTTGCTAAAGGTCGAACCCAGATCACGGTATTTTCCCCCTTACGATAATACCGTTACAACATAACGTTGTTTGCTAAGGGTGTCTACTATCCATACACTTACCGTTGCCTGAAAAGTTCAAACAACAGAACCTCCCTGTTACTCTTCAGCTCTCGGCTGTCACTATTGACTGTTTGTCCACAACGACAATATTGTGGCTGAAAGATTTTAGCTTGGAGTATGTGGGGGAGGTGTGTGAGGTAGCGTGGCCGAGTGGTCTAAGGCGCTGGATTAAGGCTCCAGTCTCTCCGGAGGCGTGGGTTCGAATCCCACCGCTGCCAACCAAGTACTTTTTTAACATTTTTTTGCCAGAATCATATTGCTGGTAATGTATGCATGCTCGGTCCGTCAGTACTCCAAGCATGTTTCCATAGTGTAGCGGTTATCACGTTCGCCTAACACGCGAAAGGTCCCCGGTTCGATCCCGGGTGGAAACAAATCTTCTTTTTTGTTTTCTTTTGCCCGTACAATTACGGAATGCCTTAAGCCCGATTCATACTTCATGTCGCGTACGGGAAACGCGTTGCGTCGCGAAAAAGTTGATCTGAGCTCAACTATTTCGCGTACGGGAAACCCATCGCGCGACGGTCGTGCGATGGGTTTCCCGTACGCGAGATGAAATATGAATCGGGCTTTACTCAGACCACGCATTTGCATGCGCACAAAGTAAAGCACCGAAATTGATTTTGAACACGTAAAATACCTGCCACGTTTCAAAACGCAACTTTTTGCGACGCGACAAGCGACTTGCGACACCTGCGACGAGCTGCAGCAGCGACACGCGGTTCACAATCTTCAAGTTTGGTGTTTGCCGCATCCCCATGCACTTGTAGTACTATCCACGTGTACTGCACTTGTAGTACTATACACGTGTACTGCACGCGCATCCAGAGTATACTAGTAGTAACTGTACTCCATTTGTGTATGTCGTCCAGGCGAATGTAGCGAAAGTTGAACTTTCTTCAACTTCTGCGGCAGATGCCTTGCGACTGTACGCGACAGCTCATGACAGGCATTTTCTTGTCGCATCTGCCGCAAATCACGTATCGCGTCGCAAAAAGTTGTATTGTGGATCGGCCTTGAGGGCAAACACATGCTGATATGTTCGACATCACATTCTGAAATACAATCGAGAGAACAAGGCCAAGAGCATACAAGTCGCCGATCTCTCATACTCTGCTGCATTCCTTTAACCCTTTGTGACCCCATCGATCGATATCGATCGATTGATATACAGTGGCATTAAAAATATTATATCTCTGGTATTCCTTCACCGATTTTCATAAACTAAGCATCTACGTTTCGAGAGGAACCTTGGCTATCACGTCAAAGTTATCCGAAGTCTTCACGAGGTACGATACCGCCGTGGTACCGCTGCCAACCAAGTACTTTTTCTTTTGCCCCTGCAATTATGGAATGCCTCAGACCACGCACGCGCGCGCACAAACAAAGCACCAAAATTAATGTTTGTTGCGGTCCTCCGAGGCAGGTTATCGCTTTATCAGAGTGGTTGCCTTTACGAGTTTTACTGCACTCTTAGCCGTTTGGAAGTGCTGAAATTGATGGTGCTAAACGCATTCCAACCTTTTCAGCCGATTACAAAGGCTGCAATTACTACACTCTTTCATGCCCTTTCATTCATAGTCTGTTTTGTACAGGGCCGCTCGTAGAGTTTGTGTTAAAATTCATCTTTATAGCAAATCTCATGATACGTTTCCTTTTGGCGTGACCACTTACTGTTTCCAGGACAAGCCGTTTGCAGCACGGGCCAAACACAGGTCGCTGGGTGTGACCGCGCTTTTCTGCCATACGTTAGCCATCGCCAGGCGAACTGATTTAGTAAGTTTCATCCTAACTACTGATTGAGATACGAGAGGTACCTGGTTCAAGTCCTGCCTGGTAGCGGGTTTTCCAGCCGTGCTGCTACCCGCAGTTAACTGGAAACTTGTGGCCAGGCACAAGGGGTACATGGCTGCGGCTAATGGGGTCTTTCTCGGCACGTGTGCCAGTGGTTGTGAGACTTATCCACTCACCCCTACCGTTAGGCACTGCATCTGCCGCTAGGGTTTACCAGGTGTTAGCGGCCGTCGTGAGTTCCCTTCGGGAACGGACACGATAATTTACTTTTTATTTTATTTTATATCCTAATTACCATGCAGCTCAATGATATCCGATCGCGTGAGTTAAGACCGTGTCGGGCGCTGTGCAGCCCTGCAACAAGACGTGCAAACACTGGTATTCTCAGTGGTACCGGGTGCAGAACTGACTCGCTTGACTTCGGTGTCCATTGAGCACCACGGCATTATGATATGCTGCCTGCTACAGTCAGGTGTACAATTCAGCACACAAAACTAAGTTCCGTATTCTCCGGAGTATGCGCCACACTGGAGTTCAAGCCGCGCCTTTTTTTAATTTTTTACTATGTGCACATCCCTACAAAGTAATAGGGGTAATAAAAGAGACAAAGACAACAAAGGAGTAGTAGGTGCTACAAGAGCTGTGCTGGTCAGGCGCAGTGCACTCCTCCGACCATTTCGGTATCGGAATCGACATGGACTGTGCGGGCCAAGGGGGTATACTATGAATGATAGACTTATGGGAGCATCTGAGAATGCAGCAGAAATGAGAAAGAGAAGATCAGAAAAAACACAAATGCCTAGATCTTTTGTCACGAAATACGGACATGTTACCCTGTTTATTACCATTCTTTTTGCTACGGAAAACACGGTTTTGTCGTCACACTATCCATACACTTACCGTTACCTGAAAACAGAACCTCTCTGTTGCTTGCCAGTTCCGCGCTGCCAACATTGACTTTTTTCTCCACTTTAGCTTTGAAAGATTTTAGCTTGGAGTATGTGAGGTTGGTGTGTGAGGTAGCGTGGCCGAGTGGTCTAAGGCGCTGGATTTAGGCTCCAGTCTCTCCGGAGGCGTGGGTTCGAATCCCACCGCTGCCAGCCAAGTACTTTTTTAAACATTTTTTCCAGAATCATATTGCTGGTAATGTATGCATGCTCGGTCCGTCAGTACTCCAAGCATGTTTCCATAGTGTAGCGGTTATCACGTTCGCCTAACACGCGAAAGGTCCCCGGTTCGATCCCGGGTGGAAACAAATCTTCTTTTTTGTTTTCTTTTGCACCTACAATTACGGAATGCCTTAAGCGGGATTCACAGAAGCTTTTTTGCGATGCGATGTGATCTGCGACGGACGCGTGCGATGCGAACTCGCGAAATACCATTCACAGAAGAAGTCAGTGATGTGACAAAGTCTTGCTGATTTGGCTACGTCACCATGATATTCGCGCGGTTTGATACAACTTGTACAAATTTATAGGCAACTCTTGAACCTTTGTACAACTTTGCTGTAGAAAAGGTCAAAATTGTACGCCAAATCGCTTGTCGCATCGCATCGCAAAAGTTGAGCCAAGCTCAACTTCTGCGATGGCCTGCGATGGCCCAGTTGCGGCAGTTGCGTGGGCCGCGACATGGCTGCGATTTGGGGTTTTCTCGGTTTCGCGCCTGTCGCACCGCGTGTCGCATCACAAAAAAGCTTCTGTGAATCCCGCTTTACTCAGACCATGCATTTGCATGCGCACAAAGTAAAGCACCGAAATTGATTTCGAACACGTAAAATCAAGAGTACATAAGTGTGCAACTCCCACATACCCTGCTGTCCCGACAGAATTTCAAGTTGACGTCATTATTTATGTCGCAATGCTCCTTGCACCAGTGATTTACAACATGTGTACGGGTGTCAACGCATCACACGTTTTTCTTTGCAATAATTTGTACAGAATCGATCGGCTTCGGTCAACCACAGGTTCCGGATTCGTCTGATAATCCGTGTGCAGTGCGCATTGCATCATCAAAATGACGTCAACTTGAAATTCTGTCGGGACAGCACCCATAGTGGAGTTGCACACTCTGGGGGGTTATGTACTCTTGGTAAATTCCCTGCCACGTTTCAAAACGCAACTTTTTGCGACGCGACTTGCGACACCTGCGGCGAGCTGCAGCAGCGACACACGGTTCACAATATTTTTGGTGTTTGCCGCATCCCTATGCACTTATAGTACTATCCACGTGCACTGCACGTGCACCCAGAGCAGAAACTGTACTCTGTTTGTGTATGTCGCGCGTCACATGTCGCGAAAGTTGAACTTTCTTCAACTTCTGCGGCAGGTGCCTTGCGACTGTACGCGACAGCTCGCGACAGGCATTTTCTTGTCGCATCTGCCGCAAATCACGTATCGCGTCGCAAAAAGTTGTATTGTGGATCGGCCTTGAGGGCAAACACATGCTGATATGTTCGACATCACATTCTGAAATACAATCGAGGGAACAAGGCCAAGAGCATGCAAGTCGCCGATCTCTCATACTCTGCTGCATTCCTTTAACCCTTTGTGACCCCATCGATCGATATCGATCGATTGATATACAAGTTTTACTGCACTCTTAGCCGTTTGCAAGTGCTGAAATTGATGGTGCTAAACGCATTCCAACCTTTTCAGCCGATTACAAAGGCTGCAATTACTACACTCTTTCATGCCCTTTCATTCATAGTCTGTTTTGTACAGGGCCGCTCGTAGAGTTTGTGTTAAAATTCATCTTTATAGCAAATCTCATGATACGTTTCCTTTTGGCGTGACCACTTACTGTTTTCAGGACAAGGCGTTTGCAGCACGGGCCAAACACAGGTCGCTGGGTGTGACCGCGCTTTTCTGCCATATGTTAGCCATCGCCAGGCGAACTGATTTAGTAAGTCTCATCCTAACTACTGATTGAGATACGAGAGGTACCTGGTTCAAGTTCTGCCTGGGAGCAGTTTTTCCAGCCGTGCTGCTACCCACAGTCAACTGGAAACTTGTGGCCAGGCACAAGGGGTACATGGATGCGGCTAATGGGTCTTTCTCGGCACTTGTGCCAGTGATCGTGAGACTTACCCACTCATCCCTACCATTAGACGCTGCATTTGCCACTGGGTTTACCGGGTGTTAGCGGCCGTCTTGAGTTTCCTTCGGGAACGGACACGATAATTTACTTTTTAATTTTTTTATTCTGGTTACCATGCAGCTCAATGATATCTGATTGTGTGAGTCAAGACCGTGCCGGGCGGTGTTCAGCCCTACAACAAGACATGCGAACACCGGTTGGTATTCTCACTTGTACCGGGTGCAGAGCTGACTCACTTGACTTCGGTGTCCATTGAGAACCACTGTATTATAATAATTATACTGGGTGGTACAGTCCGGTGTACAATTCCGCACAGAACACCAAGTTTTAACTTAGCTACAAGGACGAATAGTTGCATTCCCCATACGTCGACATGTGAACTAAATACTGTGTTCTCCGGAGTATAAGCCACACTGGAGTTTTTAAGCCGCACCCTGTCCTTTTTTTCCTCACGAAAAACAGACATCTATCCTGTTTATCACCATTCATTTGACTGTCGCGGTACGAGCTGCACCAACGTTTCTGGGTGAATTACGAATATTCAAGGTTTGGCTTATACCCCGGAAAACATGGTATTGTCGTCTCACTATCCATACACTTACCGTCCCACCGCTGCCATTGTTAATTTTTTCCCCGTCATGTTAGATTTTGCTTATAGAATTCAATTCAGCTTGGAATATGCAGAATTGATATATGAGGTAGCGTGACCGAGTGGTCTAAGGCGCTGGATTAAGGCTCCAGTCTCTCCGGAGGCGTGGGTTTGAATCCCACCGCTGCCAACCAAGTACTTTTTTTCCATTTTTTGCCAGAATCATATTGCTGGTAATGTATGCATGCTCGGTCCATCAGTATCTCAAGCATGTTTCCATAGTGTAGCGGTTATCACGTTCGCCTAACACGCGAAAGGTCCCCGGTTCGATCCCGGGTGGAAACAAATCTTCCGTTTTTTGTTTTCTTTTGCCCCTACAGTTATGGAATGGGACCATGCAGTTGCATGCGAACAAAGTAGAGCACAAAAATTGATGATGTAAAACACGTAAAATCCCTGCCACGTTTCAAAATACAACTTTTAAGCTGCGGCAGTGACACACGGTTCACAATCTTCAAGTTTGGTGTTTGCGACATCCCTATGCACTTGTGGTGCTATCCACGTGCACTGCGCGTGCACACAGAGTAGAAACTGTCCTCTGTTTGTGTATGTCGCGCTTCGCATGTCGCGAAAGTTGAACTCTCTTCAACTTCTGCGGCAGGTGCCTTGCGACTGTACGCGACAGCTCGCGACAGGCGTTTTCTTGTCGCATCTGCCGCAAATCACGTATCGCGTCGCAAAAAGTTGTATTGTGGATCGGCCTTGAGGGCAAAAACATGCTGATATGTTCAACATCACATTCTGAAATACAATCGAGAGAACAAGGCCAAGAGCATGCAATTCACCAATCTCTCATACTCTGCTGCATTCCTTTAACCCTTTGTGACCCCATCGATCGATATCAATCGATTGATATACAGTGGCATTAAACATATTATATCTCTGGTGTTCAAAGGAGTTCCTTCACCAATTTTCATAAACGAAGCATCTACGTTTCGAGAGGAACCTTGGCTATGACGTCAAAGTTATCCGAAGTCTTCACGAGGTACAATGCCGCCGTGGTGAGACCGCTGCCAACCAAGTACTTTTTCTTTTGCCCCTGCAATTATGGAATGCCTCATACCACGCACGCACGCGCACGCACAAACAAAGCACCAAAATTAATGTTTGTTGTGGTCCTCCGAGGCAGGTTGTCGCTTTATCAGAGTGGTTGCCTTTACAGGGTTTACTGCACTCTTAGCCGTTTGAAAGTGCTGAAATTGATGGTGCTAAACGCATTCCAACCTTTTCAGCCGATT